ATTTCAAGACAAAACGTAGTTACATTTGTTAGTATTTTCCTCAAATACATGTCAAAGAAGCCACTGTCAAAAACACACTTAGTTTCGCGGAATTATGCAAACAGGATAGTAATCTTGAGCTTCCGCGAAATAATGTGCGGTAAAAATCTAATTCGCGAACCTAGTGGTGTAGTTGTGAATCCCTAAGCTCGGGTAGTAAAACTGGAATTTCTCCAATCACTAATTTGAACGATCTGACAACACCATATAGCTGCACATAGGTATTTTCTTAGGATGAGTGACAATTTGTGAATTCTGAACTGTAATATAGTGAAACAGCAGTTCTTGAGTGGAAGCTCATCAAGAGGCAGAGCATTGACAGATGAATACGGGGGGAGGAGGAGGGGGTGGTATGAAATCAGAACTAATGATGATGAAGTTGAGAAAGACAATTATGATGATGAAGAAAATATAGAAAACTCATACCGTCCCAAAAGCAAACAAATCAACAGTATTCGTTGTGACGAAGGGCCAATCCTTGAAACGTCAGCTATAGAAACTCTTTACGGTGGTCAAATAACATTATCAATTCAGTTGATAAAACTACATTATGACTGTAAATATATGAAAATCGTATACGTGCACTGCTTTTTCAGGCCTTATTTTCACTACTAGTTCAGTAGTGTTCATAACTGCGAGGAACGCTTCTATATTCAAAACTATGGTATCTTATAAGACCCCCCACGGACGAAGCACCACATCTTTTCTAGAAACTTACCCTTTTTAAAAATACATATACCACAATTATGATCAGTTAGACTTCATATAGTTTACACCACGATCTGCTGGTAATTCCTTTAATGTTTTGAAATAGGTTGTTTTTCATCGTGGTAGTTGGATGATATTATAAGTTTGTTCTGTTGTCTCACGACACGCAATCATAATTCCGCGGTTTCAGAACATGCTAACGGAACCGAACACAAGCCGCTGTGGAGCGAAACAAAGCTTATTGACCGAGAAAACCATTGGTACACAAGGAAAGTGAAAGAATCAATTTACATAAGAAAAATTGCCACAACCAGTCGACCCCATCGCCTGAAGCAGACTTGCAGTAAGCAGTCGAAACGTTGCGTTCTACATCAAGTGACCTTGTCGCGAGACAACAGAACAAACTTATAATGCCAATTCCTTTAATCTTTACATTGAATAGTTTTTTTAAACCATAACAGTGTACAGATCATTAGAAAGAGTTGTGAATATCCGTCTTGCTCTATCAAATAGAAGACAGTGAGGTTAGCAGCGATACTACTGAGCGGTGGATCGTGGTGCACGCAGTCCTTGGAGGATTGGCTCTTATCGTTGTTGTGATTATATTGTGGCTCCGAAGACGACCAAGGAGGAAAAAAAGGTTAATTAAGTATTTAGGCTGAAGTGTCAGCTATTACAAACTAAACAGCATTTCGCGTATATCGATTGCTTTCGTTAGTGATTTTTTAGGTTCTGTTACAGTTTTTTAGTTTAATTAATTTTGATATAACAAATCTTTTTCCAATTTTTTTTTCCTTTTTTTTTTTCATCATTTTTCAATATGTAACGACCAGATATGCTCCTCCTATACAACTAAGCCCTCTTCTATCACCTATTGTAAAATCATAGCCAGAGTAATCACAACGACCAATCACAACTAAGAAAAACATCATGAGGAGCTAACGAGAAACTCGATCCCAGGCCTCGAATTATCGACCCCTTCTAAAAACGCTTATCCTATGAGGTTTCTATGCATTATTTCAACAATGTTTGGTTAACAAGAATTCTGCTCTTAATTATGACATTATCTGAATTGTAGACGGCCATATATATATATACATTTTTTTTTTGCTTTTTGGCTTTTATATTTCAATTACATGGTAAGGGTCGACCTAGGCTCATTCCCAGCCATTTTCATCACGCGCGCGGCGGGGAAGTGTAGTTTGGGAGATAGGAAAGATTGGGGGCAAGTCAGGTAAAGGACTATCTTTAATCCATCCTTAATAGCTTCAAGGAAGACGAAAGCCATAATGATGAAGAATCTCCCGGTGTAAGTTTCCAACATGTCGTGTTGAACGAACCCATTTACACCTCACGAGAAAAAGTCATCTATTCTGCCGTTGACCAACCATACCCAGAGTACGCGGACGACCACATGCACATAGGCGGTGAAGAATTCAAGGACTTTCTTTTATCTATCCATGATCACTTCAAGAAATACGAAAGCCATGATGATGAAGAATCTCCCGTTGTAAATTTCCAACATGTCGTGTTGAACGAACCCATTTACACCTCTCGAAAAAAAGTCATCTATTCTGCCGTTGACCAACCACACTCAAAGTACGCGGACGACCCGCACATAGGCGGTGAAGAATTCATGTCCGTGAACGAAGACTCTGTAATAACGAAAGATAAACTTGTCCGACCTACCCATAAAATTCTAAATCTCGTTTCAAGAGCCTTACCGCTGCTTTCAGGAGAAAGAGAAACGTTCAGTGACGAGAGTGAGGATAAGCTTGTTTAATACAGTGACTAGCTCGGAACTTTAAGAAGCAAGCTATGATTTTTGCACTCTTTTGTTTAAGTTTTGTTGCAAAACGTTATTAAAAAGATGTGCCACAATTGCAAAAATATTTGAGTGCCATTAGGCCTGAAACAAAGTCTTTTACATTATACAACAGCAAGTAATCAAACCTTTTTCCTTTGCTCTTTTTTTCACTCTTTTTGTTTATTTTGCAACGATTTAAAGTGGCCTACAGATATTTGCTCCTCTTGAGCTCGGTTACCCTGCAATGCAGGCGTCTTGTTAGTGCGAGCTAACGCTAAAAGCTCGCGATCGTTTGTCCGACCGGCTATTTTTGATTTACAGTCAGAGTGGACGGTGGGGGTAGGGGGCGGGGGAGGGGAGAAAAGACGCCTCTTCACTCCTCTACCCCCACCCCTCTCCTTATTTTTGACCGTCGACCGCCCTCTTGGTATAGATTTTTCCTCTCCCAGTCTTCCGCTGCCATTAAAATCAAAGATGGCAGCCATAATATTCGATATGAAATAAGCATTCGCTAGCCTAAATTACGCCTGCTCTGCAGGCTAGAACTCGGTTCTAATACTCTAAGGTCTATCGGTTGTTATAATAAACAAGTGGTGCAAAACGATTACACACAAAGATACAAACACAAACATACAAGAGGAAAAAAGAAAAGAGAAAAAGACGATGTTACGGGGGGATAAGGTAACTAGCACTTGAAGTTCTCCCACTGGCCAACCAGGGTTGTTCGGTAGTTTTTTTTAACTTCGCTCACGTCGTCTTCTCCATCTGAAATAAGTCATCATTTTACACATGGTGTTTTCTATCCCTTTAGACAGTTTGCCTGTTTTATTTTGAGCTTGGCTCTCTTCGGATCCTTGTGAAATGTGTCTTTGTTCTCATTGGCCGTTGTGGTTCATTCTGAATAAGGCAATCCTATTGAAAGGAAGACCATCGTAACAATAAATTTGTGTCTGCATGAGTGCACATGTATATAATTTCGCTGTATCGCACATGAGGTCATTGAAAATCACAAAAACGATACACTGCAATCGTGAAATCCGTCCTTAGCTCATTATTCTAGTCTACTTTGCAAGGTTTGTCTCCTTTTATTTTAATAGCAAGCCTCAGTGCTTTTATAGGAGTTTTACTTTTTACGAAAAACTGTTTTAAATTTCGATTTATAGGTAAGTCCACCTTATATGAGAAATTTGTGGATTTTCCGGCTTGAAATTACCATGATGGCTCCACAATTGGGCTAGTTTAGTTGTATTACTTTGGTTTAACTATTCCCTCCGCATTCATTTCACCCCGAGCAATTAAGATCTGTAGAATTAAAAACTTTGACCTCGAGGCCGGTAACCTCACACACAAAAGCTGCCTAGTAGAAGACGAGAGTTCATGAAACTCATATCACCGTAGAATTATACCGTCGTGGGTGAGTCTCAGAAAAAATATTTATTTCCTCCCCAGTAAGCGCGTTACTTTTTGATCTTAGAGTATGGCCATCCCTGAACTTCCTCGTTAATTTGAAATTTCCTCCCGCCATTAGCTCCAAGAAAGAGAAAGACAACGTAGAAATCGAAAGTACAGAGACACATGGGGCATTGGACGAGGCTGTAGACAGCCTCGATGAGGATAATTACTTATTATCCTTGGACCCGATTTATGAAGAAATTAGGCCTATCACATCAAGCCATACCCAGTCTTCTACCGTTAGCACGCATGCAAACGTTTCTGTTTACCATAGCGAGGATTACGAGACTCTGAACAGTACAGGGAGTGACGATCACATCTACGACAAAATAGAAGACTAAAGCTGATTCGATTAGGGGCATGTGGTGAAACAATTTCAGCCAAGAACATTCTCCAAAACAGGTCATTCAAGGGCAGGTTCACTCATCCTCTATTCTTCTCATTTCATCTCCGATTCCTACATCCTCCCTCGCACCTTTGGGCTTGTTGAAACGTTATTCCTTCTTTTATTATAATAATATTGAGCTTTCTATAAACTAACAAGCAAAACAAAGGTCTTTCTTTAAAAATTAACGAAACTTCACTTTTTACAGTATCATCTTGTCGTCCAGTATCAAATTCTAACAAAAAAATGTCCTAAAATAAGCGTTATAATCTAACAAATAAACATACAGTAGGGTTAACAGGAGTTTTCCATATGAATATTTCATTCTTCACCACTTGAATTCTTACAATGACTGCAATCCCTCCCATTTAAATGTAGCTTTTACTTGTACTAAACATTTTAAGACAGACAATTTTCATATCAGCTCAATACTTTTGTTGATGATTTGTTTTGCTTAAAATAACTCAAACTGAATTGAAACTTGGTAACATACTCTCGGCTTACCGACAGGACACTGCAGATGTACTTTGGGTAAAGACAATAAATTCAATATATTAACTTCTGGGAAATAATCATGTGTTCTACGGGTGATTTTTATTTTTTCATAAAATTGACTGCAGCACTTAAAATAAAATCCCACAGCCAAAAGAATTACTACAACAACACATCTATTTCGAAATGTCCCACAATTACAACATCACCAATTATAAAAATTCTCATAAAGAATTTTTTTTAATTGAAAGGAATTCCTTCAGTTGTCTGTATTTCCAAATATTTATCAGGATAACTATGATATCTTGTAGTTTCGCTTTATAAAAATGAATCCTTTATTTGCCTCTCACACCACAATTAGAGCAAAAATTGTAGCATAAAGGCCATTTGCGCAACAGACTTAAATTTTCTATGCCTCTATTCATTTAGAGCAATGATGGAATTTTCCTGCAAATAATTAACCAATATCAAAGTGTTCTCCAAAAGAAAAGTGGCTCACTAGTGTTTTTCCCAACTGCATGTTTCAGAAGCACCAGCTATTTCAACTAGACAAATCAGTAAAATACATATATATTATCTTGATCTGAAACAAATTTTAATTTTTTGTGCCTAGTGTTTTTTTTTCCATAAGGTCTGTTGACTAAGAAATCTCTGGAGAACACTGATATCATGGTTACACACAACTTCTATACGTTGAAAATTTGCAGCATTACATGTCACCCCTCCATTCTTTGTTAACAGCCAATATTTTGTAATCAAGACAAAACTTGGCTTGCCAACATTTCAACTGCTGGCTGTTGATAAACAGTGTAACAGCTACTGTATAGCAATGCTTGATGCCTGATAACATAATGCTCAGGATATTACTCAATGTCTTCAGGATCTGCACCCAGTATGGCAGCTGGGGGGTGAGGTCCAGCACCAGCTGCTGCTAAGGCGGCAGGCTCATCTACAGCCTCCACCAGCCCTGGGGTTCCAGTCTTAGTTTTAACACACTGGAAGTCAACATGACGACTCTTGCTTTCTTCTTTCTCCCATGACATACGCACAAATGGTCGCTGAACATAGTTATAAATCACTAAAAAGAGAAAGAAGCACAATGGTAAAGAACAGTTAGTTGTATTCAGGCAAGAAGGTTTAAAAGGCACAAAGACTAGCAAGATATTCTGGCCAACACAAACTACACAAATACAAGACACAAGTGGATTGAAAAATTTTTTAAAAATTTAAAAAATGAAGGAGAAGGACTGAGTATCTGGAAATAAATGTAGTATTATCACCAGTTTTGGTCAGCCCAATAAAGGATTACACAAAGCACTCAATAAACGCTTTATAATAACTATACTTGACAAGTGATATTAACAAATTCATATATTGTATTTCCTTGAATAATAGCCCAGAAAATTGACTGAAAGGAGGGACACATAATGGATGGAGGGAACTTCATTGATAATGCTTACTACATTAGCATGGCAATTGGCCAAAAAATTAAAAGAACAAATAATGCACTCTAAAGAACTCTGCAAGCACATGGAGATGTGAACAACTGAAAGAGAGCTACAAGTATAAGAACAGACACTATTCTCCTGCACTAATTTGGCTGTAGTTGAAACTTAACAAGTTACCAATTTAAAGTTGCAGTAGAGGCAGGTTTGCTTTGTATCCCTTCTATTTAAGAAAGTAAGGGTGGAGGAAGGGGCACTTTTTCAAGAAGGGTGACGTTAAGGCCTAGAGGGCAGACGCTTATTTGAGGGAAGCCGGTTATTAGAGTGTGGGTGGTTCCTCAAATATGGAATAAAAGGAATTTATTGCAAAATAGAGCAAATGGAGTTATGAGACTACAAAGTATAAAACCCTCACTGCATATCAAGCAAAATGCTGCAGAACAGATGAAGATGAAGCACATATCACCAACTAAGAATGAAACCCTTAGTCCCAAATATGCTGTGACTGATTTGGGTCTTGAGTCAAAAAAAAAAACAAAAAACAAAAAACAACAACACACATAGCTAAAGCTTAGAGTCTATTTTGCAAATGCTTGGAATGAAAATATTATTATCAACAACAACAAATGTAATCAATCTCATTGCCTGTTGTACAAAGCAAATCAATCTTACCTTCAGGCCTCCCTCCGTTTGGCCTCTGTTTGATTTTCTCCTTGTGAGTGGGATAACCTGCAGAAATAAAGGGCAGCAAGATATTGTGAGATATTCATTATATGTTCCTCAAAAGTCAAATAATGACTTATATTCATGAGATGCAAGTGAATTTTTTTTATGTCATCAGAATTGCAAGTGCAGTGGTTCCAAAATAAGTGTATGAATACTCTCAAAGAAATTGACTCCAAATGGCTGGATTCCCTTTTTTCCAAGAGAAACCATCTATATACCAGTCAGTTCCTTCTAGACAGTGACTATGATTTAGCAGGGTGTAATGAACATTTTTGCCCCTAAGTGTATGAATAGTTTATAAACAAGAACCTTCTATTCCAAGCCTGATTTTCTTGAGGCCTCTTTCCTTCAGTACTTCTTTGGCCACATCACGGTTTTCAAAGTACTTGAAGAATCGGTACAGAGATGTTGAATACACAACTAAGTCACAAATAAAATGGCAATATGTAAATAATCAATGGCAGCTAGTACACTACTTGCATTATGACAGGTTTTTCTAATTCTGCAAAAATCTAACTTAGTTCATTCAATTCCATTTTAAGTACTCTGTAACACCTTGTAATAAGAATGGAATACATGACCTTGAGTGCACTATGTTTCTGTTGACACTCAATGACTTAGCCTCGAGGTCATTTTAGCCTGAAAATGGTTGACTGGTTTGTTCAATCAGATTCAACACTGTTCCTGATTTAACCATCAATGATTGCTGCAGTATGAGCATGTGCATTGAAATACAGTCATGGAGAATCCTAGTCTCAGAATTGTGCGATTTAATTTTGTTTTTCATTAAAAAAAAAATTAATACCAGACAACCTTAAGACAAAAGTTACAGATACATAGTCTATAGACAACCTGGAGTCAAGCATGAGTCCAAAGAAATTTTAATTTAGTTATTTCTTACTGTGAGTGTATTCCTCTCCCATACTGGGGGGATACTCTTCATCCCAATCCACCACATCGTCATCAGTAAGGATCACTATATGACATTCACGGTCACCTTTCTGTAAAGAAATTTATAAATTTATAATAGAAATGTGTCAGACAAAGTCTTGTGAGCACAATAAGTATACCTGGAGAGTAGTCACCTAAGCTTGCATTACATGCCCAACTGTTCAAGCTTTATCACTTTACAGGGTAAGCTACTTTAATGAAACGACTGTCATTGATGAGTTCATTCCAAAATCAAAAGTATTAATTTATTTCATTTTCAGGAGACAAAACATGCTCAATACATGTACCTTGTTAATGCTACAACTGAAGTAAAATAATTCACAAAAGCAGTTTACCAGAACCAAACTTGCAAAACTGACTCTTACTTCTAAGCTTTTATTTGCATTGTTTCTTCATTCCTACTGAATGAATATATAGTGCTTTAGGTGATATCCTATCAGAACCAATATTTAAGTTAGTGAGTTATTTTACCTTTGCAGAAGAAACCATAACAGGTAGAATGTACTCCTCCACAAAATATTGAAACTGGTTTTTAGCACCATCATTTGACAGTTCATGAAGAAGATCCCCTGCAAGAAAAATTATTTTAACTGTATTTAACTTTCAGTTATAATTGCATATGGGTGACAAACCAGCTTAAGTGTCTGCCCAGAGCACTTAACTCTAGATAAAATGGTTCCAGCTTGAGACTGAGGTCACTGAGTTGTGACTTTTAGGTACAACACCATCACAGTGCCTTTCTTCTGAATGGGATGTAAAGTAGTTTGAGCAAACTGTCATGAAAACTCAAGAATCATTTTGGTGTATTTGTATCTTGTTTGGTAATTTTTTAGTAATTCTCCTTGTCATTTCATACCACAGGTACTAGGAGAATACACTGTAACTGGAAGTAACTGACGTTGAGCTTTAGCTCAACTCTGTGCTTTGTACTCGGATAGAGCATACTCTTTCAACAAATGACAACGTGCATTATACCCAAACTTTATTATTATAATATTATTTATTATTGATAAAGACCCATCATGACTGTGACCTATTAAATCCAATATCTGAAGTACAAAGATGGTGACCTCGAACAAAATTTTTGAATAATGCTGTGCCTTAAGTGAGTTTTTTTTTAATTATGCTCTCAATGGTGGTCACTCAAAAAAAATTGATTGTTGCAAATTGAAAGTAGTTTGAGAACAACTTACTTAAATTCTGACATCTGACCACTTGAGCATTAAATGGTATAAGCAGATAATCACATGCTTCACGAAGTTCTGGGATTTGTACACTTGGTGGACAGTTGATCAGACCTGTCTTGTAGTAATCCTGTAATACATTATAATACATTTTTCAAAATATATCAAAGACATACATGTAATGTTAAACTCTGATCTTTACCTTACAATCCAACCATAATCAGTTTGCCAGAAACCTTGCAATGAAAGTTGCCAATTTGGTGATTTGTATCGGGCTTTCAATAACATGCTCCTTGTTATTAGTTGTGTATAATTATGGTCTTAGGGAAAAGTGAGATAAGTTTTGGTATAAATTCAAGCCATTAATTTCTTTAAAAATATTTTCGATATCAAATATTTTTGATTAGCATTTGCTATCTGCGGGTCAAAGGATTATCTTGTAAATATGTAAGAAAATGAAAAATAAAAGTGAAGGGAAGTGAATATTAAACCTTGATATGTCACACAAGCCTCCAAAAAGCTGAATAGGAGCTAAAAAAATTGGAGATTTTTATTAGCCATATTTGAGATTGAGAGTGCATTCTTTGAAAATAAATTGAGAACCATGACCACCTGAACAAGCTGAAACTTCAAAAATAATTTTGGCTATTTCATATAAAATCTTTTGAAACTTTTATTTGTTACTATAACTTTGCCACAGACAAAATAAAAGGGTGCTAGTAGACATAATATACATATTCCCTTTCTTGATGTTGATCATCATCTGCTCTTTACATTTAACAGTACCACTTGCACATATGTTAACTGCGCAGACAAATTTCATATGCTGCAAAAATTAGATCTTACCAGAATACACTTGAAGACATTTGCAGAAATGCCTCTTGCAACTTCATATTCCCCTTTTTCATTTCGGGTTGTGTATTCCATTGTTGAACCAAACATTCTGCAAAGTACAGATATATTCATTTAAGTAAAAATAAATCCATGTGAATGTCCATGACTTTCAAGTATTTTAGTACGATGTCATGATGCAATACCAACATTTTTTTAAAGCCAAAGGCATGAGATTTTTATCATAAGAATGCCAGATATTTTGTCTATGACTAATTCCCACAACCTAAGATACAAGAGATTTTATCAAGGCACTCCTAAGAGAAATGAAACATGCCACTCCCCAGTGTTCTCTTATTAAATTGGCAAGGCTTAAGAGGAGTGTGATCTTTGACTAATTTTTGACAGAAAATAGCAGAAATAACTATTGTAATGTAATATTTTGAAATTCATGGCTATATTTTGTCCACTATATTGCAGAAAATTCCAGTTATCCAAGGCAAAAGACACTATGAACAATGATTTAGAACTACCAATCATAGAGAAGCTAACTGTTTACAGATTTAATATCTTTGTTATGGCTGGATTAGTACTGCAAACAAACTAATCCAATTGTATTTTTGAGAAAAAAAATGTTCCGCTATATTGGCTGTATTGAGAGGAACTGTATTTTATCTCACTTGGGTGCCAATATTATGTGGTATTGCAATTGCAATCTCAGAGTCCCTTTACCTCATAACTTGGGTCGCAAAGAAACCAGACACTCTTTAACATAACTCCTGTTTTAGGGAAACTTCAAAGAAAGAAAGCTCAAAGCAGGCCAATTAAGATGCCCAAAGGTGTTGAATAGACATATAAAAATTCCTATATATCGTGAAAAAGGGCCTTGTTATAAAGAACCTCCTTATCCAGTTTTATAACAAGTATACTAGTCTGTTAAGTGAATGTACAAGATAAATCTTCACAATCTCCAGCTGAGTATATAACCCTAAATTTAAAGACAAATTTGCCCACAAATATAGAAATATTGAAGATAAGTTTCTAGACTTCCGGTGAATTTATCATTCCAAACACTAACATTAGTGTTTGAAAGAAGAGCGTTTATTATATTTAAAGTCAACTCGATTGATCTAATTTTAGATCAGCTCATTTAAAAATATAAGCTCTCTCTACTGTGAACCACCAGAAAGACATAATCGACACTATAATAGAGTAACATTTAAGAATATTCGAACAATTATGTTCGCTTTATTTCGAAGAGGAAACGAAAATCGCGATAGCCTAATAACGGGGAAAAAGTTTATTTACAAAGCTGAGTCCGGCAACGAATCTCGAAACTCACATGTCTTGTACACATGGAAAACACACGGAAGGATGTCAACAAGAAAGTATACCAACAAGAAAGTATACCAACCTTCCCAACATGGTGTTTGGATGAGCAATAAATAGCGATCTTTCGACGATAAAACGTGTATCGTCCACTACCAGCGTAATTTTATCGGCGGCGTCGCCACCCTGAACATTTCTTGGTAAAATCTGAGTGACAACTTTGTTTCGTTGTTTCTGAATAATGGGAGGCGAGTGGGCACCTTTCCGTAACGAATGTTCCATTCTGTTTCTCGTAGAGGTCTTCTGCGGTTCTGAGTGGCTTCTTACAAGACGCCTTGAAAAATCTCGAGGAGGGATGTCTAGAGGTACGTAAGCGTTTAACTCTTCTAGCTCACTGTCAGTGGAGTCATCTTCGACTCCGCGACCATCAACATGTTCTTCTCTGTTGCCGTTTTCCATCGATTTGTCCTCGAAGGACGTTCATAGATACACAGTTGAGTCACTGCTAACACTAACTAAGTCTGACAAGTTTCATTAGCTTCTAATGGACCAGAAATGCCACTGAAATCAGCTGAAGATATGGTTGCAGATACGATTTCCATTCGACGGTTTTCAGGAAGCAGACGGGATCCTTCCAGATGAATCGTTTCCCGTAGATGCAAAATAATGTACCTTGAGATGCTGCAATTGTTTGGGAGGGGTGGGAGAGGAAATCGATGGAAAATAACAAATTTATATTATGAAAATTATCTGGATTACATTCTTTATGGACACACGGCTGATACTAAGAAGGTTTGAATTAAAATGTTTTCCATGACCCTAAGCCATAGGTTGTTGATGTTGGGGACATGGAGACATGGACTTCTAATGGTTTCGTCAATAATGATCATGTTCCGGGTAAAGATACCTTTTCTCAACTAGAAAAACGATAGTAATTTCGAAAAAATAACTTACACTTTTCCAATTTTATCGCGAAAACGAAATTATTGTGGGGCGATTTCAAGAAACATGGAAAAATTGTGACGTCACGGTTTAAGTTGTTCACGTTTACCCAGTTTGCTCGAGGTTCTTCACGCGCATATCTTCTGAGTCGATATGCGCTGATGAGTCCATTTTTGAACTACTGGTTTCTTAAAAGCCCTGCGGAGTTTGATCCTTATCGCCTATTCGGTTTCCACAATGTGCGACGATTACTATGAAGTGTTAGGAGTCCCGAAAACGGCAACAGAAGAGGATATAAGGAAAGGTTATCGAAAGCAGGCGTTGCGATGGCATCCGGACAAAAATCCCGACAACAAGGAACAGGCCGAGGAGAAATTTAAGCTGGTCTCTGAGGCATATGAAGTTCTTTCTAACAATGATAAACGCCAAATATACGATAGATATGGCAAAGAAGGACTTTCCGCCAGGCCAACGAACGGAGGGGGAGAATTTGCCGCAGACTTCGACTTCGACATGTTCAATTCCTCGCAAAACTTCCGCAGCCCGGAAGAAGTCTTCAGGGAATTCTTCGGCTCTTCTTCTTTTCATGATATTTTCAACATGGTCTTCCAATCTTTTGGTGGCTTTCAAGACTACTCTGACACAGGAAACACTTCAAGAAGGTCAAACAGAAGAAGGAATACAGATTTCTTTGGAATGGATGTTTCCAGCGATGATCCTTTATCTGCCGATTTCGACAGATTTGCCGATAATTTATACGGAAACGAATACCTTTTTTCCCAAAGCCCTTCAAGTAATAGAAGACAAAGGCGTCGAAGACAAGATCGTGGATCTCAAAGGCAAACACGGAACAGCGTTCCAAACTTATACGACCCTTTCGCTTTCACGAGCTTTGAAGACTTCGACACGGTGTTTGATCAGTTTGTGGACATGGAGAGAAATATGATGGCTACGATGGAGCACGTTTTCGGCAGACTTTAATAATGGTGTTGAAACATTAAAATTACGTCGACGATTCAAGAAACAGAACTTTTCTCCTGGACATTCTAAAATCCATTTAAGAGACCCCAGGAGTGACAATGGCTTACACGAAACCGCAAAACCACCATTATGTTTGAAACTGTGTTTACAGTGGACACGGGAGTTTTATTCCATACTTAATATGATTCAGATGTTTATTCAATTAAATATAATTTTTAAGGTGGCGATGATCTAAGTTACAAAAGGATGCCGTAATGCTGTAGAATGAATAAATGTGCTTTGCTTGAGAGAATTATCTCTGATAACTTTAGAAGGATAAATCATTAGTGTGGTGGCAAAGAGATGCAAATTATGTCATAAAACATTAAAGAGTCAAGTTGTTCCAAGAAACATTATTAGCACCAGCTAATGAAGAAGATCTGGAGAGTTAATTTGTTCAACACCTACTGATACTGAAATTTTTGATACAAGTTATGAAATCAATATGAATTTTTTACTCTCTTGCAATTATTTTTCGGAGTATCCATGTCCTTTCCAAGATTAGAGGAAGCATCCTACAACATCTACCAAAGTATTTGGAATATAAAGAGTGAACCAAAAGTAGGACTTCCAGAGAAGTGTGGAATTGTATTGGAATAACAAACTCAGGCGATTAAACCTGTTATCACCAAACAGCGACAAATAAGAAATGTTTCCTTACAAAATTAATGCACTGTCAATCAGAAAAGTGAAGAGGAGAATGAAAGCTATAAGGAGATGTTTTATATAACACTGAATTGTCAGGGTAAATATTGTAAGAAGTAAATGAATGGCAGTGAGCAAAACTGATTTTGAGATCTTGTGAGTGGAAGGGTTAATATTATTAATTTGGTTTGGTAATTTGGTATATTAACTCAGGATCATGCAATTCCCTGTTTGATATTTTGTTTGTAATCCAAGAAGAAGAAAGAGAAGCATCATTTTAGTAAGGTAGACTAAACTCTTATTTGACTTATGCGTACAGGATTTGTGTTACTTCCTTTTGTGTGAGAGTTTGAATTACTTTGTCATTGGGATTAAGGAAGACAGGGGAGTTACCCATTTTTTTTCCTGTCTCAAATGGAAAAAAATTTGGGCACACCTTATGGAGCTTATTTGTCTCAAATGGAGAGCATCATGAACTTGGACATTTGAAATAAGAGTTTGTGGATTAGTAACAATACTTCCTCATTAAAAGAAGTTTGTTTTCAATAACGTGTTTTATATATATGCATATTTGTAGGGTTACTGCAAAGATCACTCTGATATTCATGTCGCAATCAGCAGTTCACATATATGACTTTCATATATTCACTGTCATTTATAAGAGTTTGTTGATAAGTAACAATACCTCCTCATTAAAAGAAGTTTGTTTCAATAACGTGTTTTATATATATGCATATTTGTAGGGTTACTGCAAAGATCGCTCTGATATTTATGTTGCAATCAGCAGTTCACATATATGATTTTCCTATATTCACTGTCATTTATTAATCACTCCACAGGTTTATTATAAACCAATAAAATGACCATCTCTCAGTCTGTGTTTTAGCTCAGTTGGCAGAGTACTGCACTGCTATCACAGAGGTCAGTGGGTTCAAATACTTTACAAGCCTGAATTTTTTGAGGTCTTTTTTTATCACTGCTGCTTAAGTAGTGTTCATTAGATAGCTATCATATTCAAGGTTAGATTTATTGGTGATGGAATACAATGTAATGATAGAGGATTATGCACTCAGTAGTAATTTTCAGGAAAACTAGTAGGGGGCTGTAGGAATCCTGCAGGATTTAACCAATCAAATTTCCTCTCTTGTTACCTTATTGCAAAACTATGAAATTCTTATGTTGCATCCCCAATGCAGTCTTCTCTTCTCTGGTTCATCCATGCCACCTGTTATAGAGTTGGAAATACTCACTCTGTTGTATAATGTAGTTTTTGGTTTTGAATTGGTTTTTTGCTCAGAATACAATTGTTGGTATTTATACATGTACTATTGCTTTTATTCAGAAGTTTCAGTTTAAATATAGTACATTTTGAAATGGTAACTTCTAATAAATACATTTGTTGTTAGCTATAGTATGATTACAGGAAAGTTCACATAGCCAAAGTTGAGTAAAGTTGAAGGACCAAGATGTTTTAAGGCAAATTTTATCTAATATACACAGTGGATGGTTTGACTTTCAAGAAGAGTATTATAATATTCACTAACTGAAGGGGACACTGAGGTTTGCAGTATTGCAGTATTAGACAAATTTTCCTGTGGTATTTCTGTAATTTTTAGTCTTGAATTGCAGTATCCTCTATACTGTAGGATGTGGTTTTTCAGCAATGTGTACAATAGTATCAACTGTTTTCTGTACCTTTTCCATTTTCCAACTGTTTTGGAAATGGGCTGAAATTAACAATTACCAGACATAACAGTCATTAACCAATTCTTAATTGTTATTTCTGTGTTATTTGCTCTAAACGTAACATATAGAGTAATGGTTTTTGCATGTCATGGAGGTTCAACTTGTTCTTAAAGTATTGTGGTATTTGATGATTTTTTTTGCAATATTGTAGTATTTGCCAATTTTTTTTGTGGAATTGTGGTGTTCAGAACCCCCCTAATATACTCCTCCTAATTAATGTTGATTCTATATAGTTGTGTGAAGGAGTTCATTGGAAACTAAAATAATCTACTCTCACTGATTTACGATATTTTTTGACTGGCCTGTTTGTAAATATAATTTGAAAGGTGGTGAGTCTTTTAATTCCTACTTAGTGCCAACTTAAAAACATGTGTTTCCTAGTTATACCTTTACTTGTCAATTACAATTACAAAATGTTCTCTTAAAATGATTAGAAGCTGAAAGTGCCTGTCATGACTTGTGAGACGTATTTGCTACATTTGATTGGTGGATATTTGTTTGAACCATCCAAGCAAGTAATCTTAGCATTCCAGTCAGGATCATAAAAGAATGCAACAGAACGTCTAGGGGTGCTTCGCTTGAGCTCCTCCTCTGGAATTATGACTCTGTGAACCTGTAAAATTGAGGGGGGATTGTAGACAATTTTAATCAGGAGACTAGCCCAGTTTGGAGGGGTGAACTCTTTGGGTTCAGATACTTTTCAATGTTGCTCTAAATAATAGTTAGCCTCACCAATGCCTGTGAATCAAATTAGTTCTAACCTATGGTAGGTTATAAGAACTACATTTTGTATACAAGATGAAGTGATGATCTGAATTCTATACTGATAATAAAGAGAGGAAGTGTTGAGTCTCATGATTAGGAGATATGCTTTTCAGAAGCTTTAGATTTAAACCCTTTATCAAAAACTTCCGAGTGCACCTTGAACATTCTTTCCCACTAGGGCACAATGGTCCCATGTGGAACAAAACTTCACTATATACACTAGTCTATTACCGTTGACACAAATTTATCTGCAGTCCATCTTTGCATCAAGTCTGCAATGTTTACAAGTATTGTACCCTGAATTGGAGTTGCAGGGACAAACTTCTTCTCTCTGTTGACAACCTAATGATTAGTATTGAAATACAAAAACAGTGAGAAGGGACTCTAAAAATAACAAAATTGAAAGTTCCACAAGTTGTACTCTCATATTCAAATACCAAATTTCAAATGAACTGAGGCATTTATAAATACTTAACCTCCAGTCCTCCTGCATCATCCTGGAATAGGAGAGTTATTCCACCATAGTCAGTGTGCTCTCCACATCGTATTTGACCAGGCTTTATGCATTCAATGTCAGTTATTCTAGGGTAATAATTGAAGCGCAGAAGAGCTGTTCCATTGCGTGTTCCAACATCTTTGTAATAACTCTTAAAGACATCTGCGGGCTATTTTCATGGAATTTGGTCAGAAATTTTTTAGAGAAGTATGATAACTCAAGTGGGCAGTAAGATTAAAACTATATCTTTCTTTCATCAATTTTGTTTTGGTGGAACAACCCAAAATAGTTTTGAACTAAGCATACTCTACAGAAGAAGAAATGATCGCTTGCAAACAGCTTTAAAGTTGGGGATCAAGAACAAGTTATTTTGTTATCATCCTTCAGTCTCATGACTGGGTGTCTGTTATACCTTGTTGTTTGTCTCAGCATGGAAGAGAGTTATACCCTTTTAATTCATTACTTTCTTTGGTGAAATCAAAAGCATACCAGTATGTTTCAGATAATTAAATCTAATATACAAAAGTCATTTGACTGTACAAGTGCTTACCAAACCAAGGCCAATAGCCATTGCACTTAGCACCCTATCGCCAAGACGACTAAGAAGATCAAAGAGGCTTTTAACTGCTGATTGGAGCTCTGGAACTTCTGTTGGCCAACGCTGTAACAGAAAAAAATTAAAAACATAAATTTTGTTTGATTTATATCTCAAATAAAATTTTTTTATTAAAATGATAGAAAAAGTGAAAAATTGTAATGACCTGAAACTATGATTGTTTTAATGAATTTCCAGGAGACCTAATTTTATTGATATTGTTTGGTTTAATCTGTACAAATTAATTATCAAAGGGTTGCACTTACAAATTTCTTGTCGTCAAAAGCACTGATATCAAAAGATTCTTTTAGGTCACCTGGCTTTGTTGGGTCAGTGCTGGTAAGAAGCAGGCAGATATCGATTAGAGTTGTATAAAAATGTATCAAATTGAAATTATAATCAAATATATAACTGATAAGTGCTGTATCACTAATCTAATTAACACAATAATTTTGCAATCAATATGGAGATTAGATTCCTAAGAAATTGACACAAAGTGTATCTAGATTATATAGGATTTATTAGTAGTTGGTTGTTGTTCCTGATCCCTCAAATTTGGATTGTGTATGTGTGTGTTTTTTCTTTTGGTGATTTAATCAATTAAGTGCTGTTTATGTTCTGCAAAGTTAACGTAGTTGGCCTTCTGTCTGGTCATCAAAATTTTTAGCTCAATGTGCATCAAAATAAACAATACCTCTTAAAAAGATTTCAGTCTCGGCGTCCCTTCCCTACGCCATGCCCCTTCTCAAGGATCGAGAAGTGGCTTTAACAGGTGCTAATTTGATGATCTCTAGGTCATATAAAACATTTTTACTTACATTTCTCTTCCCAAAGCTTCCCATCCATTTGAGTCCAACTCGCCCTTCTTTCCATACTTGTTTTTGAAGTTTTTACTAAGTGTAAAAAATTTGTCCATGACAGCGAACGTTCCATCGACCTGTATTAGGAAAACAAATACAAGGATTTCATGAACAGCTGCAGTTTGTGGTGCAAAAATGGGCCCAAGATTAAACTATAATTCAGGTAAACACGTCTTCATTATTCAGTATCAGTGTAATTCTTTGGCTGCGGAGGCAAGAGACTTTATCAACATCAATATGCTTTCTCACAAATTATCTGTATTGGTAGAGCAGAACCGGGACCGTATGTGTCTTGTGTGCTAGTCTTTTAATATTTTTTCTCCAGATTTGTGTCATCATTATCATTTCCTGTAAAATATTTCGGGAAAATCACATTTCTGCAAAAATTGAACTCTTAAGAAGTGCTTCCTCACCGTGTTTTGCGAGATTCCATGATTTTTTAGGTAAACAAATCCAACAGTGCTGAAAGCTTGGTGGATCTGCCTCGCTATCTCTAGCACTTGGTCATCTGAATATGATGATACCATTTCGTGTTCAACGCTCATGGCAGAAAAGTCGACCAGAGGTATCCCTGAAACGGTCTCCATTCTCCTTGGAAAGAAATACAGAGTTTTCAAGGGAATATCCAAGTTTGGAAGGCTGTTGGAGATGACTTCGGGTCACGCTATGTTTGGGAATATTGAGGGAGAGGTGTGGTCGAAAAAGTCACGCTATGAATTCTGTTAGATTAATGAGACCGGAAACATACTGAAAAGAGATCAAAGCTGGTGACGAAACAAAAGAAAGCATAAAATAAGGAAAAAGCTGCTTATTTTATTGTTGAGGTTTAGATATTTCCTCATTCACAGAAGGACAACATTTCCTTAGCCCAGATCGAATCGCCACAAAAGTGGAAATGTTAAGACTTAGATGCAAATGAAAAAGTACGATTTCCTCCATAAGTTAAGAACACATAGATCAGAATCATATTTATTTCCTTACAGAGACAGTTTCTGACTAAATCTTTTCAATATGAGGTAATTTCTTAGTTTACTACTCTCTTACCCTCCCGACCCTCGCCAATCAATGATCATTCGTCTTCAATGATCATTGATTGGGTCAGCAGTGATATCTATTAGTACCCAATCGTTCGCGTTCATCAGCATGTAAAGCCTTGCAAGAAACAGCTCAAACACGATGTACTCATTGAAGATCAGCGAGGAATATTTCTAAATATGCTTTGATTACAAAAAATTCTAAGTTGATCTGAAAAATGATAACTTGTGTTGGCTGGATCAGGAGAGGAGTTGCGAAAGCAGTCCCTGATAAGGTAGGCATCTCCAATTTATCTTCATTTGCCAAGTGATAATAGCTGGACACGTTGTGGAAAAGGTTGTGGTCATTCTTGTTGGTGAATCACTTTAACGAGAATCTAGTTATTGTTTTATTACCCTGGTTTGCATTGCTGGATATGCACCCACTCGGTTTTCCTATTCACAAACGGTAGAATCTGGTCAACTTTTTTACAGTCGATGCTCAGCTGTTCATTTACAGCTAATCAAGTTAGTTTTATTTACCTGCCAACTTCAATACGTTTTTCAATAAGAGGAAAACGGTTCATGGGCCATAGATCTGCACTCACTACATCCTTAAGGAACAGCAGTTTTAAGTTTTGATTCTCTTGTGATGAGGTCGTGTACCTTGAAACCAAGGCAAATTTACGTGCTAGCCCTCGTCAAGAAATTTTTTTCATGCAGTTTCTCTTTTTGACGGGATAATTTATTTTTATCAACTGAATTCATAACGTAAGTTGGCCACGGTAAAGAGTAGTTATTGGTGGGAATATGGTGACGAGAAAACAAGAATAAGTTAATCAAATGAAAAGCATTTGTTGATACCTCAGGGATTAAGTGTGCCAATTTGAAAGATAAATTTTTGTTCTGGAGTTTTGAGGTGTTTTGAACTGCCTAGATGTAGGTAAAGGCTGCAAGCTGCCATATGCTGCTTAGATTGGTTTGGTAGATTAAACACTGTCTAGTGATTGGTTTGGATGCATTTTTGTTGTCTCTCTCAATGTCGCAAGGGTGTTTTTGGAATCGGTCACCCAATAGTCTTCCTGTTTCACGAAAGTATAACTTTTTAACTAATAGTGTTCCTCCATTTTCTGCATCAAAACACACACACAACCCACAGTTCCTCCAATCGCTCCTATGAAGGGCTAACACATGAAATGTCAGCTTTTAACTCTTTATGGTGGCCAATTTAGGTTATCAACTCAGTTGATAATACTAAATTACCTTGTTACACCATCCTACCAATGCAGCACCACAGTTTCTTTAGAGGAACATTGTCAGTGAAAAAAGCTCTTTTTTTCACTGGGAGCCAAACATTTATTGGTTATTGGGTTATGTAAAACCATTGTAAGGAAATCTTATCATTAAAATCAGTCTTTCTTCACACATCAACTTTGCTTTTTATTGTTACCCTTTATTTATAAACAGTCATTCTTACGTGTGATTTATGTATATATGACTAAATAACTTAACATCAAACATGACTTTGCATTTGCTTTCTGACTCTGAGTAAGAGAAATCAGTGATTCATTTATTTATCATTGATGGACTTCTACAATATGTGCTGCATTGAAAGTTTAACATCTATTATTTTTGTTTGTCAGGTTGCCTTGTCTAAAGAAGAAATTCAGGAGATCATAGATGAAGCTAAAGAAAAGTTGAGGTACTTCTAGTATAATCTTTAAAGGATATTTAAAGACCTACACTTTTTGCCTCTCCCTTCATCAGCAGTCATCACCAACAATTAAAATAGTAAACTGAAGCATTGTCACAAAATATACCTTTGATATTACTGCATCTCTTAAGTTATTGTTAATTTCAATTATTGATCTTGAGTGCTTCCCATGTTTAATTTTTCAACCTGAACTTTTCTATCCTCAGAGAAAAAGAAGAAGAAGAGAATGGAACAGAAGGTAGTGATGGGAAACAGGATGAGGAGGTCAGCAAGGCAAAGCACAAAACAAAGAAAAGCAGAGATGATGATAAGGATGATGAGAATGATGAGGATGAAGAAATTTCAGACTTGTATGATCTAGCACATTATGACAGTGATGAAGATGTGGAAGGTAATTGATATAGAAATTCTTGCTTTGCCTCATGAGAGCCTTTTTTTAGTATTTCAGGAGAATCGTACTATGATTTTTAGATTTAGTCTCAATAAGCCACCTGATTATAACATGAACTGACATTTATATCAGTTGAATGCTTTGTTTTTTCTTAGGGGAGTTAATGTCTGGGGCAGGAATGGCTGGTGTAACATACTTTGCTTCAAACAAGGATGATCCCTATATTACTCTGGCAGATCCAGTGAGTCAAAATTCTATAACTGGTTTAGACATTTATTAAATTAGTTTCGCCAGTTATGAGCACTCATTTATTACACAGTTTTCGTAATAGTGTTTGAAGTAAACATGGAGACAGAGGCTCAATTGGCAAATTGTATGTAAAAACCCAGGCATGGTGGGAGATAAGTTCATTTGTAGGTGGTGGTTGCTAGTGCTATATCAATTCACACCTAACTTTAGTTGCTTTTACTTGCCAAACATTTGCTTGTTCACCTAAAAAACAGGTAATAACACTTGGGATATAACATACTAAAAAACAGTTTTAGGCAAATCATACAGTATCACCAAAGATACAATTACATTTGTTTTAAACTTATTTGAGGAGATTAAATGAATTAAGGCATTGAGTATCCAAATCAAGAAATGCAATATAAGTAAGGAACTTGTATTAAATTCTGGTTGAGTTTATTACATTGATTTTTAAGCCTTTGCAGTTCTATTTTGAACTGAATGAAATGATCTTGTGATTAAAGTTGACAACGTTGATCTGTTGATATTTCTGTAGTTGTGTTAATAGCATCACTTGTTCTTGACCATCTCAGTAGTCGTGGTTAATTGACAACACAAATTTTGTTAGGCCTGGGGTAGGTATGTAATCAGTATTTTCATCAATTTTTTTTCTTCATCAAGGTTTTTAATAACTTTAATCTCTGTTGCATTCAAAGGATCGGGATGAAGATGAAGAGGAAGATTTTAATATTAAACCAGATGACAATTTATTAGTTGCTGGGCATGTGGATGAAGACTTAAGTTCTCTAGAGATTTCAGGTGATAACTGTTACTGCAAAAAGTTTCCTTGTGTTTCTTCTAACTTTTATCTGTTTTTCCTCCTTTACATTTTAAAATAATAATTTATTTAACCAAATCAGTCTATTTTTTTACTTAGAAATTCATATTTCCTTTGATTTTTTTTCTTTCAATTTCATTTCTTGGTCTGTTATAATATTATTTTTAGTATTCATTTTTATATTTTTGCAATAATTGTTTATTTGTTCATACATCAATTCCATTCAATGTCATCTATATTCATCCTTTAAAAGTGTTTTTAATTTGGGTTTGTGTTTTCTCCCAGTTTTTAATGAGGAGGAGGGAAGTCAGTATGTTCATCATGATATTATACTTGAGGCATTTCCTCTCACTATTGAATGGTTGGACTATGATCCTGAAGATACCAACAAGCCAGGTACATGTGTCATGAAGGCATGTGAAAGAAATTGTTTTCTCAAAAGTACAATATTTCAAGATCCTCAAAAAGTTCTTGAAGCAACTTGATCCTCAATTCTTGATCTTCAATTCTTGTTACTCAATACTCCAGCCTGGGTTCTTGATCCTTGGTCCTCAATGCTCGATAATTTTGAGTATTGAGGATTGATTTTTGAGTCAAGACTGTCAACTGTTTTTGAATGGTACTGTATGTTCACTGATTTTGCTGAGAAGTTTCAACTTCTTTGACTTTACTAGAAATGCATCATTACTTGCTTTCTCGAAAAAAAAAATGTAGAGAATGCGCTAAGCTTTAGAAAAGAGGCGTTGTCTAAATTCTAAAATGATCAGTGAACTACAGTTTACCCATATGTAAGTGGTTGTTTGTTTTTATAATCTCATATAATTAATTAAGAGATAAAACATGAAAATTACAGTGAACTGCAAAAATTGAATCTCTCATCATCTGCTTTCAGCCATTTTTTGACAAATTTTTTTTTTTGTGAGTTTTACTGTAAATAAAAGTTCATTGCCCTTTTCCTATGGGGTTGATTTAAGGCTCAAAGGAAAAGTGGATGAAGGTAAAGTTCATAATTGCTGTTTGCAAGTTGTTGTCAGGAAACCTATTAATTAAGCTTCAACCCACTAATCAGTGTTGTCCTCCTGTAGCAAACTTTGTTGCTGTTGGAACAATGGAACCTTATATAGATATCTGGGATATTGACCTGGTTGATACCATGGAACCTGTGGTTTCACTGGGAAGGAGAAAACGGAAAAAGTCAAAGAAGGTCAGGAGTCATTGCCTAGAGCTGATTATTGATTATTAGAATTAAAACATAATGAAGTGATGTTATCAATCACCAACAGGAATAATCGAACCATTTATGGAAGTTTTGAAATGTTTATTAATCTTGAATTTATGGACTAGGTTTATTTTATTTTATTTTTTTTGTAAACTTGTTGTAGAGACATTTCATAGAGTTTGGTTTTCTTGTTACATGAAAATGTTTGTATTAAGCTTTCTTAACTGTTTGAACTTCTTAGCAACTGTATTGAGAGAAACAGAGTCTAATTTGTACTCAAAATTTGCAAGGATTTAGTCTCTTCCTAACAGAGGCATTGTTGCGTTTTGTAAAATGTACTTGTTCAATGCAAATCTTGCAAGAAAACAGAGTGCTAACAGTCCAGCAACATTATGAGAAGAGCCACTGACCAATTCAGGGTAAAATGCTTAGTGTATGTGACAAAATATGTCTGTCCACTTTATACTAGAAATCAAGAAATTCGGAGGAAGGACACTCTGATGCAGTTCTTGACTTATCTTGGAATCATCTTGTAAGGTATACACAACGGAAATTAAACTTGATGCTTTTGTTGTGAAAGCTATTTCTAAAAATGTGATTTTCAACTTGAATGCTGTAGGAATGTTTTGGCCAGTGCCTCGGCTGATCACTCTGCTATTTTGTGGGACCTCTCCCAGCCAAAACCTGTCCACGCATTGAGACATCACAAAGACAAGGTTAGATGTTTTCTTTTTGTAAATTACTGTACAAACCAGAGTGGACTATTGATGAGGAGAATATCAGTTAAAGTGGTGATCAGATTTTTTAATTTGTGGATTTTACATGAAATGTAGTTGCTGGTCAATTGACTTTGCTGTGAAAAAATATTTGACTTTGCTTGAAAATAGTTTGGGACAATCACTGGATAGTTTTGAGTTAGTGTGAATGTTGATTTCTTGGTGTCTATACATTTGTTTATTCAAGTAACATGGAGGATTGCTAGGAAATAGAGAATGAAAATTAGTCAGAATATGGAATTTTGGTTTATAGAGGAAGAAAATTGAAGCATTTTTGCATGGTTTTATTTATTTGCAGTCACCTCTTTCACTGATTTGCTGTCTTGCACACATGTTTATGTATATAGGCTTCAATTCTTTTGCAGTCACCTCCTAAACCAATATGATGCTGAAAACTCTTCCATTCAAATGTGTTACAATAACATGTGACTATTTTGTTGTACATGTAGGTGCAGTCATTACAGTGGCATCCATATGAGTCACAATCATTACTTACAGGTTCCTTTGATAAGTGAGTATTATCTCATGGAACGTTCAGAGTTTTAAAGGATTGAATTTAAAGAGTGGGGATGAGTCGTGATTTCCTCTGGTGCATGTACCAGCACGTTTTCTAGTACTAGTGTGTATGTCTGTCATGTCATTGTTATGTTGCACAGTTTCTTCTGGAATAAGTAGCTGAGAGGAAGCCAAAATAGTGATCGTACATGATAGATAATGTACATTACTTGTAGTAAAATTTATCAATTACCAGAGAGGCTTTCATGTTGGTAAATAAATTATTTGGTGCTCTTGTGTTCACAGAAAGGCCAAAGTGGTTGACTGCAGAAGTCCTGAGGTAAGTTCTGCCATAGACCTACAGTTGGTATAGTTTGGTGTTGTTGGGAACTCCTGTCATTCACCTTTTCGAAAGAATCTGAGGCGGAAGTACAGCTTGGATAACTCAGAAAGACGATCTTCATAGCAAAAGGAAGGACTTTTTCTTAGAGCCATTTGTTTAAAATGAACCAAACTTTGCAACTTACGGAAGGTTTTCTCTTAATATTGAGAAACTATTTCTTTTCCCAGAGTAACATTAAATCTTGGAAATTTGGTGCGGAGGTGGAAAGAGTTCTGTGGAATCATTTCTCACCGTACAATTTTTTAGTAAGTAACCTTACAATTTCGTAGATATTGTATCATACCAAAGGGTCTTTGTGAGCTACACTACTTGAATCATAACCTAGTTTTCCTTATCCCGTGTAATTTTTCACGCCATATTCTCAAGACTGAAACTGATAGCACAAATAATGAGTACTTTAAGAGTTGCTTCTTTAGCATTGTGCTCTGTTCTGAGGTTGTTGTCGTGTTCTCGAGTAGTACGAGCTAGCTGTCAATTTTTCCAGACTTTCAGTTACTAGACAGGGCGACTTGGTAGCACAAAGCAAACAAAGGCGAGGTTTGGGAATGTGTTACGTAGAAGCCGCCTTGTCCTCCCGCCTTCTTTTTCTCTGAGATACTATTGCGCTCAGACTAACAGAACAGTCTAAACAGTTTCCACAATTTCCTTGTTCTACTTGATCGGTATCATGGTGTTTGTACAGATCAGCACGGAAGATGGTCACGTGTTTTGCTGTGACGTCAGGGCGGACGGCCCAGTGTTTACTCTCAAAGCGCATGATAATGCGATACCAGGTGAAGTACTCATGGTTCTGTAAAATTACTATGACACGATGAGAGATGTTATCCTGTAGCAATTTCTAGGCCTTTTTGTTGAAAACAAAAGCAGTTTTCCTGTTTTGCGCTTTTAGCGGTCAGAATCTGTAGACTTGTTGAACTACTTTGATAGCAAACTTTGATGTTTTTTGTCAAAATCAAAGACAAAACTAAGGGACTGATTCCCCCCCCCCCCTCCTCGAGGGCATCGTTGGATTTTGGTTTTGTCACAATAAAATTTACCAAACCATCCCTAAAGCTTTGTAGTATTGAAACGATCCCCCCTCTTTGGCAGTCAATTTACTACAGTTCCCCCTTTATACTCTGTTAGCGACGACTGATTCTCCCTCCGTTCCCTTGAAAATCATGTTTTCCTTCCCTCAAAATGAATCCTCCGATCCCCTCCCCATTCCCTCCCCAGGCGATAATTAATGACTGGTCCTCAGTCCCAGTTCCGGTACCGTGTTTACCTGCGTTACTGGTTGCGTTTTGGGGTGTTACTTGACTTTTCATTGACTCCTTCAGATGTTTTTTAAATCATTTGTTATTTTTTACTACGCCCAATTGATATGTGCAGTATTTGAACAAACTCTACATGCAAAGTCACTCATTTGAGCAATTTATATTCTTTCTCATTGCGTTTCAAGGTCTCGCACTAAGCAGCCAGGTACCCGGATGTCTTGTCACTGCGTCAGCTGATGAGACTGTCAAAGTCTGGGACATACAGGTCGGGTGATAAGTGAGAGTTAATTGGTTTGTCTCGCGATTTAGATTTGCTTGCAATTGAAGATCGCAACATTTTATCCCCATTAGTTACCTCAGAGCCAAAAGTTCATTTGAAGGACGCTTGGCAATAAATAACAATCAAAGGAACTAACTAAAGTAATTATTGATTAAAAATGAAACATTTTTGGAATACAAAGTCATGCGAACACAAGTAGGTATCCAGCTGTTTCAAAAAAAAAGGGCAAAAGCGAACGCAACAATCTCGAAAGATAATTTGGTTACCCGGTAATCAGTGAATTCTAGTAAGTGAAATAAATTAATAAATTTATCAAACTCGCGTTGCCTTATCCCGACGTCCTTACGTTTTCTCAGATTTCGCTAAAATCCTGAGGTCAAGGAAATCCGTGACCTGAAAACTACCCACATTACCTTTTGGGTTTTCTCGTGCATCTTTATGCTTTTTTCCGACAACCTTTCTCGAAACAGCTGTATCTAAATGCTTCGCTCATACTAAAGTAACAGTGAAAGATGTTAGGTCAAGGTGTTGGTCAAGCGTTTTACTTGAAATGTCGCTTTCTGTCATTCACAAGGAGTCGTCCTTGTCTTTCAATACCTTTTCTTACTTCTTCTCTCTTATTATTTTCTTTCTTTATTTTTTCCCAATATTATTTAGGATAACAAACCATCATTTGTGGCTTCCAGAAATCTTCAAATTGTAAGTAAAGTTGTAGATCTAAAGATTATTCATTCCGTAATATTGAAGTTAAATTGATAATCGGAAAACTACTTGTAGGGTAAGACTTCTTTCATTTTTTTCAGGGAGGAATTCTTCATACCCAATGTTGTCCTGACTCCCCATTTGTCTTCAGTTTTGGTGGCGAGAAACAAGGTTTAAGAGTTGTTGATTTTACTGAGAGCAACTTAGGTAATTATCTAACATTTTCTGTTTTATACAAGTGTTACTCGAGTTTATTCATTAGCAATTGTGGTTCCCGGGCGCTTATTACTTACATTATAATCTAACTTATATTTAGCCAGTCAAGCGATCTCTTGGACAGTCTTAAAGGGCCGGTTATTTAAACAAAGTTTAGCCGTTGTTTTACAAAACTGCGTCCTGCCATTTAAACAATTTTCAATTTAGCTGAACCTTTTCATCTGAATACTTATTTAAGTGAACAGTGCGAAGAAGGCCGAAAGCTAACAGTGGAAAGACTTTTATTTGATGAAATCAACCCTCTTATGGAGAAAAACGGAGGCCCACAGGTTGTCGTGTAAATAACTGGCCCAGAACAGTAATTGTGTGACTTGATGACTTCACTTAGTTTATGTCAACACAGACATGATTTCCGTCCTTTTAAACATGACCATTATATCAAGACCACAAAGGCCTCAGCTGCAGCTCACGATATCTACTTGTGTGCTGACACTAAACGTTTTGCAGTGTAGTCACCTCTGATGAGCATCGCTTTTGTCATAAGAAAAACTCTTCTATTTTTGCACTTTTGACACCAAGATAATGAATCAAGAGTTTTTTGTATAGGTAAGAACATGACTTCAAGTGAAATTTGGTGTTAATTGGCACGAGTAAATTTTTCAAAGAGAACAAAATTGCACGAACCCGTTGGGCAAGTGCAATTTGTAGTCTGTGAAAAATTTACAAGAGCTTATTACCCCAAATTGCAGAGAAGTCATGTTCTTACCTGTTAGTAATGTACAAGAAAGAGGATGTCACCGAAAGTCAAGACAGACGAAGTTTTGAAAGCGTGAGCGCGCCATTTGTAATTTTTCACTCGCGTTTATGAGAATGCACTCGTTTTCAGCCAATCAGAAGCGCGTATTTTTTTCATGTCTATTATTATGTATAGTAGGGGCCAGTCATTTGTTTTGCTATGGCAACCCCATGTATAATTTATGTACTTTTTTTTTCATTATTGCTTCAAAAGCTGATCAGTGTCGAAGCTGAAAACTTAATCAAGGCATTGCACTTCTAAGTTTGTGAAGTATTTTCCTTTATTTGCTCTGTGCATAATCTCGCTTAAACAAGTCTGATTGTGTCGTAGTTCGTCGGCAGTTTGCATCAAGACAGAGACTGGTACCCACAACTAACAAAGCACCAGGGGCAGAAACTGTAGAGCCTGCGCCCGAGGTATGAACTTTGGTATTTTCCTTTTCTCCTGGATCGTTGTACTTGTAGATGTAAATTCGTTCATTTCTTTTCAGGTTCCTGAGCCTGTGGAATCAGTGGAGGAAGTAAGCCCTGAGCCCATGGAAGACGAGACAGCGGCTGAAGCCATGGCAGCTTTGAGCCTTGGTGCCTCGATGAGCAGCGGGCATTCAAAGAAGAAGAAGAAGAGAAAACGACGAAAATAACGTAGTTATTAAGGCAATAGCCAGAGACTTTTTCGAGATGTGGACGAAAATAACCTGGTTTATTTTAGGCAATAGCCAGATACTTTTTCGAGATGTTGACGGAAATTAATTTATTTCGTACACATCCAAACAGTCAGGGTGGATAACGCAAGTTAGCGGTAAACGTCTGTCGTCGACGCTTGCAAAGTCAAAGGCATCGGTTGAGTGGCGGAATGATTTACTTTTATGGAGTATTTTTATTTGCAGTTGGCATCGTCCACAGCTTCATGATGGCCATTTCTTCAAAACTTTTGACAAGATATTTTACAAATTGCGTATATCAATGATCACTGGTGCTTTAATTTTCTGGCGACAGACTTTATAAGAAATTCTGCTGGAAAGGATCTGTCAACTCAGTAAAAGGCATTTGAACTTCCGATATGGAAGATGTTTCCCTCTCTTAGAAATAGCATTACAAGTCAATGAAACATAACTCTCATGCAGTATTTCGGTAAATATTCTGTACATTTTTACTGAACTCGTAATTATAACGTCACTTCTTTGATTGGCGTATTAATCACGTGCTAATAGGGGAACAGTCATGTAATCACTGTGTCGTATACCAAAGCTGAATTTTGGTGCAGTTGGTTTGTTATACACAACCTGAAAAACGAAACAAACAGCAATCTTAGTAGAAGTTAAAACCTTCTTAACTTTCAACACCTGAATCATAATTCTCCTTTCTACCTGCGTTACGTGAGTCAAGAGACATTTTATTCAATCTAGACAGCAGATCGATTGTTCAATTGAGTGTCTGGGATGGCTTTACCTTACGTTGCTGTATGACTTGTCAAGAAATCTCGCGACACTTTCTAAACCAATTAAGTTCAAAACTAAAACTCATCGCAACTTGGTCGCTCGCGCTTTCCGCTCTCCTGGCAGTTTGCCTGTTTTTTCTTTAAGTTCTTATCGCGCTCAATCGAAATGCGCTCTAGCGGTAACACCTCAGTCAGTCGTATTCAATTCAGATAACTATAACATTAGCTTCCTAAATTCTTACCTAAACTCTCCCTAATTCACTAGTTTTCTCAATGGTTTTATTGAAATTGTAAGGAGACAATTCATGATTTCCTCTTCAAAAGATTTAATAGCTAAGGCGGGTAGTCTGACCCTGAGTCCGCGAATCTATCCCATAGTTAATTAATTCGATTGACCACGAATTACTCTCTGTTAGTCTTTTTGCTGATAGGGAACCAGTGACCATAAGTGAGTTTATTTACAGTAAGATAGATGTGCACAGAAAGGCGGCGTTAGAAAAGTAGAGTTGTCTCTCCTGTGATATTTGTCGACTCTTGCGACTATCGAACTATTGCGAAGTAGAAAGGGTCCATTTCTATGCATGGTGCCAGGCAATACTGGGTTTAAACAAATTTATGGAAGTTATCTTTCAGACATTGGACTAGTGGCAGATCCAATTAACTTAGTTAAACCACCATTATACTAAGCTCAGAACTATAAAGTTATTTTGAGTGTAAATGTATCCCGTCAGTTAAAGTCTTTGTGAGCTTCTTTCACTTGCTTCAATTATATTCGGCCTGCAGTAACTTGGTATCTAAGCTCTGAAGTTACGTCAAACAAACAATAGACAAGACAACACTAAATACGTTTCAGTACATGATTTCATAAAATTTTTATTCCTCTTTTAAGTAACCTATATGGCTCATAATCTAGCCTAACTGACTAAGGAAATAAGTACTGACAGATCTCGAGGCCGTCATATGTACTCCTACCTAACTTAGCTGATAGGAACTTAGCGAGGTAAGCGCCCAGTAATTTAAGTTGACTAGCTACCTCTGATTACAAAGTGAACGAAATCGGTGACTAAAGTTAACACTCTTTTGGCTTGCGGAATGATATTATCCCTTTAAAGCAGTGATGGTGTGTTTTATTTGAGAAAAGAGTGAGTTATTAGTTAGAAGAGTAGATGCTATTACCAGCCAAGGAGTGTTATCGCTCGTGATACATGGTTAGGACGTTGGGTGGGCGTGCTGTGACAATCGCAGGGAATGCGTACTGAATAAAAGGTTCGTTGCGACTGATGCATTGATGATACAGTGCTTGGTTATTTTAAAAGCAAGTTAGTAGAATTCAAGACAGACGAATGGGTTGAGAATGGAACAGAGTGTAACAAAGCTGTAGAAATACTGGGGAGGAGTGTCGCATGAGCAAGATCTGGGGACAGGTTCTGCTGGATACAAGCGATTACGAATTAAAAAGAAGAATGTAAAAAGTTGAGTGTTAAAATTACGTTTGGTGCTAACAACCAGATATGAGATTGTGAGAAGTTGATGGTGTAGACTTGGTGTGATAAACGCCCTGAATACCGCACTTTTGAGGGTGATTTTTAGTCGCGTTTACCTCGTAACTAGTCAGGTTATCGTAATGGATCTTCTTGAATAGGTAGCATATATTCAGAATGTCTGATGCGGAATGAAAAGCTTGGGCCTGCCGTGGGATCTACAGCCTGTGGAGTAACAAATGCAACCATATCATCATTATTTTCGTTACTTTCATCTGTGACCAGGACCAGACGAAGTGTGGAGAAATACCTCAGCATCACAGAGGTAGTCAATCGCCGTCAAGCTCAACAGAAACGCAAGCAAGTCAGCAACAGTGTTCATGATGATGTCGCACCACAAGTAATTCTGGATTGAGCCATGCATTAAAATTTAGTCGAATCTTATAATTCTCGAGTAAGTCAGCCTTTGTTAACGTTTGATTTAGGACCTAAGCTCGATAATTTCAAGGACGCGTTAAACGATTTCTCACCAAAGGGACTCAACGCCGAACAGTTCAGAAAGAATAGCTAGTGATAATAATGATGATGATGATAAAAATGATCTTAAAAACATTAATGAGCAATGATAGTCGCAATAACAATAAAAAAATCAGTTTCAAAAAGTGTGCACATATCGCGCCTTGTCCAAAGGCTTGCATCTAGCAATGTCTATTCGGGCCACTACACATATCACGCGCCGTCTAAAAGCGCACGTTCATAGATGTCGCACAGTGTCTAAATGCGCGCAGTTACACATACCTTGCAGTATCCAAGAACACGCATCTAAACATTTCGCGCATTGGTACACCTCGTATAGTGCCTTAAAAAACGCGCAAAGTGGCATATCGCATAGGTCCATTGTGCTTGATCATGCCTACGAACTGGTCTCTACATTTCGATCACCTGAACACTCCCGCTCCCAAACATCACCTTTGTTCTAAACTCATATCGTTGCGTTCTGGAATGCAGAAGGAGTTCTAGCTTCTCAGGATACATGATACATGAGTTACTAATGCTGTGCATTGGAACCCAAAACTTAGGGTAGTTGGCGGACAGTTGTAATAATTTAATATGCCCAATACGACATTTATTCGTTATGAAAATACCTAATATCGTTATCAGTAGCCTAACAATATTAATCATATCCACGCTTTGGAAAGCCTCTTCATCATATCGTTCTTTCTATCGATTTACCGTCGTGGTAGCCCACTCGGGATGTTTGGCGAACACAAGAAAAGTTAGCAAATCCCGAGCCGAGGCGAAAACGCCATGCCGAAGTTGAATTGGTTCCCCTGCTTGATGAAATTCTCATCTCCAGATGTAACAGATACAAATAGTATGTTCACATCGTGCAATGTTTAAGGAGCAGGATAGATTCTAGTATTTCATTCGTATCTTAAAGTTAAAAGTATGCATCATCTAAGCGGATCATTTGCACACACAAATGATTTTAGTATAGGTACACGGGTGAAGATGTCGAGGTGCGAGAGATCAGTGGCTAAGTTAAATACTTACCACAGTCAGTCCTAAGTTATGCAAGCCTACCTTTTCAGGGCTGTGTTGTCCCGGTCCTGGTTTTAATGTTGTATCTGTTGGCATGTAGTTTCGTCCATTCATAGTGTATGCTGGCATTCTCTTTCTGCTTGTATTAGGATGAGTTACCTCGTAAGTTCCTGGGCCGGGTGTCTTCGTCGAGATAAACAGACAATGAAACAAACAAACAAACAAAAAAAGAAAAATTTGCATCACGGAACGGTGTAATTGATAGTTGAGAGGCTAAAAAACAGCCTGAGGTAGGCTCTCAGGAAGTGGAGACGAACGAAAAAGAACCGCCCGGAAAAATGGCAAGCAAGCGCAGGCGGATGTTGCGGTTGTCAGGGAAAAAGTTATGCCTCGTCTGGCGTTTTAAATCGCACTCCTGCTCATTTTACTAACAGCATATCTCGTGCACACACATGAACATTGATATGGACATGGACATGGACCAGTTCTTACTTATCATTTCCGAACTGATGGGCTTCTGAATCGAATCTAAACTGCGCCATCTGACAATCATTCGATCTATCCATCTAGTGTCTCGCTCAAGAATAGACTAAAATATCTAATAAAGGTCACTCTGGTCATTCGACCCCTTGCCACTGCCACTTGGTACTGTGCGTTACTTTTACATTAAATTACAACGACAAAAAATTATCTGCGATATATGGGTACTTCTCAATAAACAATAACTGATTAACCTTTTTGAGATCTTCACTGAATCCGCCAATAGCAGAGCGTCCGCTTAACGAGTAAGCCGGGGCTGAGGCCTTGTTAACACCCTTTGGTCCTATGAGGGGTGGGAGGGAGTAGGAATTTGGTGAGGGGGTGGGGTCCTTAAATAATATTTTGGTACGTTTCCCAAAGGTAAAGCTTGGCTCGCTTCGTTCGTGGGGTGGATGGAATTTTTCTGGAGAGTATTGTCCTGAAAAAAAAAAAACAAAAAAACGAATCTGAGTGTTGTACATTTTAGCCAGGTAAAATAAACAAGCGAACAAACAAATAGAGGTCACCATGGAGGAACAACTGACCACAAGTGCGGGAAACAGTAATCGTGGCTAATTTGAGTTAAGTTAATATTCAGCAGGATTGACTTGTTCAAAAAAAGATTTTACTTTTCTTCGTTCATAGTCAATGGTAGTCCTTTCAAACCTAAAGAGCTTTTGTCGTAAGAAACGACGCAGAGGGCGCCAAAATACATGTCATCTCCGCTTTTCAAACAATCACTTCCGGCAAAAATACTTGTCATCCTTTACTTTCACACAAGAACCTCAATTTGTCTGTTTATGGCAACAGAAGCATAAAACCCTACTTCCTTTGTATCAAAAATAATAGTTATCAAATGGTTTTTCCCGATTACCTGGGCCGGGTGTGTAAAGGTTGACCTTATCTGTTGTGCGACTGTAAAGTGAAAACGCTGGGGCTGCTTCCCTTCCATTTCGTGTTACATAGGCGGTGAACATGTACTTTGGACCAGGACTAATGCTAGACGAAAATTCCTTATGTCGTTGGCCAAAACTAAATGCGGGACATCGGTGCTTGCGAATATCATGGCCTTTAACTCCAATGGTTCCAGGAAGAAGATATTTCGCCGGCCCAGGTCCCCGACATTTCGCACCGATTTCAACCTCTTTTTGACTTTCGTCTCTGTCTTCCTTATTTGCCTCATTTTGTTGCGCCATTTGTTTTCAACAGACGGTTGTATTTCACAGCCTGTTTGTCTTTTATCTGGTTATCCTGGCCGAAAGAACATGTTGGCCAAGCAATAACACTGATCGTTTATCAAACAATGGAAAATTGAATTAACGCGAACCTAATTTGTAATGGGTGACGTCACATATTGAATATTACATCCGAATTATAATGTCATGGGGTTCGACTGGAACCAAAGAGCCATAAAAACCGAACAACTGAAACTCGCAAGAAAAACAAAAATGGTAAAAAGGAAAAATTAAAACCAACAGATGGAAGACATCGGAAATCATTACAGCCAAAAGAATTTGACGAAAATCAAGAAACCGCGCACATCCCGAATGACTGTTTCTCTGGAAAAAGCACCCTTTGTATTCTGAGGGAGGGTATTGGTGACTTTCTTCCGGACGAATCAGCTGTAGGCGGGGTATAAACACTTTCTAATGCAAGTGGAAATACAATTCGAGGCTGCGTCGTTCTTGTTAAGATTTTGTTTTGCGATATTAAAAACTATCTTCAAGTTGAGGAGGTCGACAAGACATTAGCCTTGTTCAATTTAAGGACATAAAAGAGATAATGATAATCAAAGGGAAAACTGACGAGAATGCGGCTAGAGATAAAGACGATCGGAACAAATTGTGAAAAAAAACTTGAGGAACGGTGTAAGATTCCTGAAAATCTTTTTAGGAGACACAAACCACGACGAAGCTCTTTCAAACAGTGATTCCATTCGGAAAAACCTCGATGGTAACGACGCTGAAAAGTATACCTTACTTAAACGATGAACTGAATGCAACACCCACTGTTATTGGTTGTTGGCTGCGATCTATCAAAGTACCCTGCAAGGCTGGCGATACACATTAATTTCTTTTCCTTTGGTTTGGCCTGTGGCTCGTGTGCCACGTTTTGTTTTGCTCTCATACTGCAATTGTTTTAAGGTTGTCTGTGATCTACAACTAAATAGACCCATAAAAAACACTGAATGGAGTCTATGAGTTAAACTGATATTGAATGGTCATACAGTTTTGAGAGAAGCGGCCGCTAAGAGAAGATTTGAAATGATCAAGATTTCTAGAACGTTTGGAATAATTTGAAATAATATTCTGGTTTTGATTATATTCAAGATAAAAAAATAATGCAGCTGAGAAGTGAGAATCGAACTGGTGTGACGCGCGATCAGCGCGCGCACGCTTTTAGACTGACGTGTGAAATACGAAAACACATCTTCATCTGCTGGAGCATTTGTTACGCGTACGATTTTCGCGTGAGGAACTTCTTCAGTTTTGGTGGAGTCTCAGTTTGGAAGTTTGTTTCCTTTTGGATTTAAGAGTTAAACGTTTGTCCGATTGTTTTCGGACACAGGCTCTCTCAGGTTCGGAGGTTAAAGTAGTAAATTACCTCTGTTTTCAAATCTCACCCAATAAATCCTTTTAAAAATTAGAACCTTACAGAAAAACTGGTAAAGAAACGTCTAGAGAAAGTTTTATACGTGTGATTATACCGACTTTGAGATACAAATGTGTTAAGCTGCTCAACATTGTCCAGTGAAATCCACACAAAAGCGCTAACACCGCATTCTGTTGGTTTTTGCTTTATAGTAAACGATTTCTCTCTCCGCAAACTTTATTGTGAAGCTTCTTATGTCTTGCCAAAGATGTTCACTTGAAGGTAAATTACCCACTATGATCATATTAGACTTGATTGGTGCAACGTGATCAAATGCTTTGTCTTTACACTTTACACTTAAATTATATGTTTACACTTCAGCGACACTGGTTACCACAAGTTACCAACCCAGATATCATTCCTACCTGGACCTGGCGGGTTAAATTTTGTCGTTTTGCTCGCAGCTCCTAGCATGGACCATTTAGGGGTTCCGTCGGGTCCCACGCTGGTCACTCCAGGGGCAGGAAGATAACACGGCCCAGGGCTGTTGAAAGATTTGACAGTTTGCAACCTTGGGCCTAAGCTATATGCAGGATTACGATGTTTGGTTATGTCATGGCTATCGGATCTGCACAGGCTTTTCAACATATATCTTGCCGGTCCAGGACCACGTTCCCTGGCGGCAATTTGCGGCAACTTCACAACTTGACCATCTCTACTATCCGGCATTATCGCGGGATTTTTCGGTGGCGCGCTGTCTTCTTTGCAGTCAACACACTCTTCGGACGCTCTTTGGTGAACATTAATTATCTCTGTTAAGCCGCCGTTATGCAATTTTCAATCAGTACCATTTACTTTGGTGTTGTTATCAAAACAATAGGCGCCCCAAAGGACGGTCAGGTACACTTTTTACAAAATGTTTTTTTCTCTTTTGTATCACTGGGATTCCTTCTGTCTCGCCTTCTGTTCTCTCCCTAAAGCTGCGATCTCTCGCCTACAGTATTTAAAGATTCACTTTCCGGATAAAGCCACTTTGTTATCACAAATACTATAGCAATTTATACCTCTCTCTCAGTTTAGTTTACGCACAATGCTGGTATTAGTAAACTTAAGAAGTGTCTGGCTATTGTTCATCAGCTGCTATATCATTCGCTACCGTGAGCCAATGCCTATTGTCAGAAAATTAAATCAAAATAGTGAGTGAGATAGGATGAATTGCTTGAAGTGAAAGGATGAATTGATGGATTGCTTGAAGTGGGCGACACTTCAGGGCCCTCATTTAAGGGTCTTCCAAGATCTTAAACAACCGAGAACGGGCTTAAACCATAGCAACAACGTTTCTTCTTTCTTCCTAATTCTAGGTCCCATTTTGGGGAATGAATGTAGTCACCTGCAATTTCGGACTTCCCTGTCCCTTGAATCTGGGAACTTTGCTGGAACATTTCAGTATTATGTTATTTGGAAGGATTCTGTCGATTCCGTCTGATTCACAGTGGTTCTGCTTGGTTTCAAATGGTTCTGTTCAATTTTTAGTTGGTTTTTCGGTCTTGGACTGACCACTTTGTCTGTGCTCGGGCGATTCTGTCTTTCAGAAGATTCGGTTTCATTTTGGACGATTTCGGCTTACCGTTGAGGATGTCATTTTATTTGGGATTCCGTCTGATGCAACAGGCCCGGAGGATCCTGTCTTATTTTGGACGGTAACGTGCGATTTCAGACGTTTCCGTCCAAGCAGGTTCCGCCTGACTTCGATCAATCCAATGTCAGAATATTTTACCCATCATACCTAGCTACCCACTAGGTTCATGCTCCTTGTCCTTCAGTAAACACACGGTCAAAATGGCGGGAGGAAATGAGATGTAAAATCATTCAGAAAAGCCAAGACAACCTTCCACAATCAATTACCTGTAACGTTTACACAGTGGGAAAGAATTGCTATGGAACAAGTGCTTCACCAATCTATTTCATCACAAAGAACTCTGCGAAAAAACAAATTCTGAATGCGCTGAATTTCGGAACATTCACATACCTGACAATTTTGACAAGAATTTGTAATAGATATTTGCTATGTTAGGGTTTCGCATGAAGCTGAACTGTTAGCTTTGACAGTCATCTCAGGGAAAGGAAAGTCTTCTCCATGTAAAATTGGCAACAATGGATGACAGACCTCGCTTTAATTTTTGGAGATTTTTGTTTTTGTATGCCGCTTTCCTTCCTTTGATCGAAGGAAACACTGCAAAATTCTTCGGCATAGGAGCAATGTTATCCTCTCCAGGCCATGAGAAAATCTTCGAGGAAGCCGTTGGAAAAATAAACGAAAATTCAAGTGGTTTACTAAGGACAGTAAAATTGAATGGAAGCTCTTATGTTTTGAGTTCAAACCCTATTCGCTCGGCTCTTGATGTTTGCGAGAATTTGGTCGCCAATGGAGTCGTTACTGTTATAGTCAGCCACCCAAAAGACGACTTTTCGCCGCCAATTTCAATCTCGTATGCCTGCGGTTTCTACCAAATTCCTGTCATTGGAATTTCAGCGCGACAAACTATCTTCTCGGACAAGGTAAGACGGGAATTTGAATTAGATAAAATACATTCTGAAGTTTATGTTCTAGCGTAAGTATTTTGCTCTAATTGAAAGTTACCAGTTATATTTTTTGGACTCAAATGAACAAATATATTGTGTTTTACTGGTCTCGTTTTTTCAAAGGAATTACTTTGAATTGCCACACAATCTGTATTATCAATTTGCAAAATGACATTTTGCAGTCGACGCGACCATTTTTGATACTCGTAAAACTCAACAAGTGAGGTTGACCAATTTCTGTGAAGATGACTCGGTGAAGTATTTAGCGATGTCGAAGACGTGCTTAAAAAACTTTAATTTTATTTGGCAATATAAATGTACGTAAATATTATGTGGTTAAAATTTCTCCTGGTTTATAATTCTTGAATCAGGGTAATTTACCTGAATCCCACTGTCTCGTTTTGCAGTAAAAGAGCCACGAGACCGGCAAATTTTTTGCCGGTGTGAACACTTAAAACCAAGGAAAAGTTTGTACCTAATATAATTTGCTTAACACTCACAGAAAAAGAGGAAATTTTGAACGAGAATTGGTAACAGGAAAGATATTGTTTTGTTTTTTAACATGCTGCATCTAAGGCAAAACATGGGAACACTTGTGGAAGTTTTAAAAGCTATCTGAACTAGATATTGCTCATAGAAATTCGTTAAGTGCCTTAAGTTACCGTTGGTCAAATGAGATGTGGAAGAAGATAAACTTCATTTATTGCATTTTAATGCAAAATAATTTTATTGTGAACATGCGAAGCTGAAGGCAATATTTGATGAAAAAGTAGAAATGGTACTTTTTATTCACATCATCAAGATTTTTATGAGGATGAACTTGAACAAGGGTTTAATGCTGAGTTGATTTGACAAAAATATCTTCGGTTTTGCATAAAATCCAAAGGAGAATGCTGTGGTACAAACATCAACACCTCAAGCTGTGCATGTACTTATATTGCGTTTTTTTTTTTGCCTTGTAACTTTCTTATTAAAACTTAAAAGAACTTAACTATATACTAATTTTTCTTTGTGATATTTTTGGTGTACTCAGAGGCTAGGGGCAACCAGTAATTTTTTTGTGACATAATCTTCAAAATCTGTAAAAATTCGTTAATTATTAAAGAATCTTTTCCTTTTCAAATTATATGCAAATGTGTATAAGTGTCTGCCTTTTGAAAATTGTATTTTGTAACACATTTGATTTTTTAATTTTTGCCAACCCGAATTAATCACAAACTGGCACATATATATATACATGATTAAGTGCAAACCAATGTATAGACTATATTATGCAAAAGTAATATTTGCAGCCAAACCAAACCTAGTAAGTTACCTTTTCATTTAAACAACTACTTATTTTTAGCATTGAAATGTAAGAATGTCAATTGTTGAATTGTTTTAAACCTTGCTTAAAAACCAACTACCTCATGATCTGACCTTATTAGACATCTTACTGGCCTGCAATAGCAGTATTTGGTTACAAGCTACAATAATACTGTTCTAATTTATGCATGGACTTAAGCAGAGATGGAATAAAAGCTTTTCTATTTACTAGTAGAAGTTTATGTTGAATTAAGTGTTTTGGGCCACTAGGATGTGTTTGTGCTTGAAATATGTTATCAAGAAACAACCACTCTAACTTTAAAATATGATTCAGACTTCAAGGAGGATTTTATTTTAATTATTTACCCACAATATAATTCAATTTTTTTTTCTGCAGTCAATCCATGAGTCTTTCTTGCGCACTGTACCATCATATTCAGATCAGGCTAATGTTTGGATGGGACTGCTGAAGCACTATGAATGGAAGAGTGTTGTTCTACTAACAAGCAATGACCAGGACAGCCGTATGATTGCAACCAGGTTCACAGGCCTAGCTGCAGAATATAATATTAAGGTATAGTGCATACACATATAACCTGTTCTTGTTCTTCAGAACCCCAATACAAAAATGTACTGATGATGTGGCAAAATATGTTTGTTAGTCTTACTGTGAGTCAGGCCTCCTCTGAGAGTGTTCAGGTTTGTGTAGCATGTATATGTTGTGAACATGTTATACCTCCTTCCCTGTATAGGATGCAAGTCCATCTTGCAATTTTTTTTTTGTAAGATAATACCCTAACAAGCTCTAGTGCTCAGTACTTTATGTCAGAAATACACCAAAAGAAATTTGAAACCTGCAATTGATGTGCAAGGTTCAATGTAAATTCACCTAACCACTTGGTAACCTCATCTATGTTGCAAATTGGCAAGCTGACTGCCCAAAGATGAGCAGAGATAACTGAATGTTGTTTGGTATATACATTGTCAAATGACCATTAGCTTTTTATAACAGCATTCAGTTCTGATTGTTGCCTCTCAACCTCCATGATAGTCTTGTAGTTGTAGTTTTTCATGCTTTTATCAAAGTATTAATTTTTCAGGTTAACTGAATCCTTCATTTTAAATGGTATTTTGAGGCTCTTGTAATTGGAATTTGTTATGGGTTATATTTATTAGATTGAGAAAACCATCATGTTCCCTACTGGATGTGTGAATGTCACATCTCATTTAATGAAGATAAAGAAATTGCAATCAAGAGTCATTCTCTTCAGTGCTAGGTTTGTTACCTTACTGCTCTTGTTTTAAAGCTTACTAAAGTCCCATTCAAATGGTCATGATAGTTGATGATAGGCCATGATTGTTTCAACTTTCATTCACTATCATTGGCTATCATGTTTGAATTCAAATGGTTCATGATGGATGGTGATAATTGACAAAATCATGCAATGAGATTGTGTAATTGTAAACAAATATGGCGTGAGCTGAGGTCAGCAATTTCGGTGGTATTTGAAATTTTAGCTAAAAAGTTGCGAGTTAAAGATACTCATGAAGCCTACCAGGAGATGAAGAGAATGAACTGCAAGATATCCTGCAGAATTTTTGCAACTACTTTAGTCATTTTACCATTTGACATTTTGGTTTGAGCCCATTTTTGGCAAAACTGCTGACTGAAAAACTATCATTCACCATCATCTGCTCAATTCAAATGGTAAAAACTATTGTAAACTATCATGGCAAATTTGAACATGTCCAGAGTACATGGTAGTCAAGGATAGTCAATGATAGTGCATGAGAGTTCGTGTTCCAGTGTGCGTGATAGTTGAAATTATCATTTTACTATCATAACTGTTTAAATGGGGTGTAATGTTTCAAAGTGGCTTATAGATATATATTTCTACAAATAGTTAGTTTTATTGATAGCAGGTCCTTTGCTTAACAATTTTAAGATGTAAGGTAAAGAAACCTGCCAAGACAATGGATAGTCTACACAATGAAAGAGTAGTTTTTCTATATCTGAACAAATGCATTTCACTTAATTCACTTGATCATTACTGGATTTTAAATAAATATAGTTTGCCTCAGTGTACAGTGGATGGTATTTGAATTAAAATGAAGTTTTACTTGAATTTCATGATGCAGAAGGGTTAGACAGATTATTTTTCCTTTATTCTGATAGTGAGGAGGATGCAGCTATTGTTTATCAAAATGCCACATATCTAAAGATGACTGGGGAGGGCTTTGTGTGGCTGGTGACCCAACAAACCTTGTCAGGGAGAGCTGAGAGTTATTTGCCTCAAGGTGACACAACAAAAAAACTTCAAATCAGTTATTTAGTTTATTAAAAAGTGACACCAATGCCTACACATACTTAAAAATTCATCAGAATCTTATGGCAAGCAGCAACTCAAAATCATTTAAAATTTCTCGGAGCTGTTATTTTTATAACTTGGGTATTTATTGCAACTCAGATTTAATTAAAGGAGACAAATATATTTTCCATATTTAAAAGAGACTACCAGCTTTAAGGTTTATAAAGAGGCATTGGCAAAGATCAGATGCAGCAGTCCTTACATGACATTGAGAACACAGAAATTTTATACTGAATGGTGGGTTAACCCGGTCTGAAATTGTTTAAGAAGGTTTAATTATTTTTGATTATTTGTTGTCCACCCTTCTTGTTGTTATTTATCAAATTTCAAATTGTGGCCAATTACATGCTCATAACATCAGTTTAAATTCTCATATGTTGGGAAAAAACATGATTAATGTACAGTACAACATGCTACTTATTACCAGTAATAAAAGTTTATTGATCATAACTAACTTTTTCTCTCTTTGCCAAGTTCATTCCTCAGTCTGCATGAATATTACATGTTTACATACCTGTGACATCGTAAACTGTAACATCTTTATTTGAGCTGAGAATTTAAATGTTCATGCAAATTTGTTGTACAGGTGTGATTGGAATGCAGTTACTTCATGGTTATAATGAGTCTGCTCAGATTCAGGATGCTGTTACCCTTGTGGCCACAGCCTTGGACAGACTGATCACTTCTGGAAATAATTTGACTTCTCCACCTGCCAGCTGCCGAGAAACTACCCAATGGGAGAGTGGTCAAACTTTATTCAAGTGAGTATTTTCCAAAAGCATGGGCAACATTATGAACATCATAACATTTGATGATATTGTGTTGTAATAATTGTTCTGTCATCAACACACAGCGCACTCAATGTTTTCCCAAGAAATACTAAGCTAAGAGGGTACAAAATTGAGGCACCTATTTATAAATGTTGATTTATTTATCTTTTCCAAATCATGGCCAGATAAGATTGTTTCTGTTAAAACAACATCTGCCTCTGTTTTTCTAGACCGTTTAACGGAAAAGTGTTAGTGTCCTTTTCCCATGGAGGGTCACATTTTCTTGAAATGTATTTTGGAAATCAACACTGATCCTTAAGTAGCAGGGTTTTTGGTACTATAAGGTAGTTTTATTAGTGAATCAAATTTGTTCACATATTAAAAATTTATGTATCAGTATTAAAACTTATCCTCGATTTAGTATCAATTATTATTGATATTAATGAATTTAAGGAGCCTTTTTTTATACTGGGGGGTATTTTTTTATTGTTTATAATGTTGAGGGTTGAAGCAGCCCTTTTTGCAAGCTGAAATTTATGTGCAGTGGATTTCATATTCTGTGCTCTTTTTTAAATTTGTGTGAAATTTGTCATAAAATAATTGGCTAATAGAAAAGAACATCATCCTAAAAGGGCATTTTGTTCAAGGGGCGGGGGCATGGGTATGGGGGAGGGCAGTAATTTATGTGCTGTAAGTTGTACACTTGACAGCTTTAGGAAATTAAAACTGCAAAGGCCATGCACAGAGAAACTGACTCAACATAAACAAAATGTTAATTGTGTGGTATTTTTGTTTGGTTGGATTCCTAGTGAGCTGGTTAACACAACCATCATCAATGGCAAGACAGGTGATATCGTACTGAACAGGAAAGGTGATCGTATCAACACTGCTTACCAGATTGTTAACCTCAGAAAAAAGGGAGATAAAAAGCTGAGAATTGTTGGAGAGTATCGTGATTGGCAGGTGTCAATCTCTGACAAAGTCTTTTGGCCAGGAGGCTTAGAGGAAAAGCCAAAAGGAATCTTTGTTTCCACTCATTTAAGGGTAGGGATCATGCATGTGTGCAAGTAATAAAATGAAGTAGTTGCTGGTTCCTTCTCTAAGTGTTCGTCAACAGCTATCCGATGAAAGAAATATATTGACCAGTGTTTGTTTCTGGTTTAGTCATTTTACCCTCAACTTGCTGCACTAAGCAGCAACATTTGCTTGGAGCCCTAAGTGAAGCAGTCAGGGTCCTCTGAATGACTCTAACATTAGGCATACACCTTTTTTACTATCAGACTGTCATTTTTGCCCCCTAAAAGTGTAAAAACAGTAGTTTCATGAACCTTAAGAAGACATGCATCTAGCTCTATGATGACTTTTTCATGGGTCATGTCCATCATGTGTGAGGTGCACAGTTTTTTTCATACTTGTTGCAGGTTGTGACTTTAGTTGGGGAGCCATTTGTGTTTATCAAGGCTTTACCAGAAAGTGGCAGGTGTGAGGATCTTGATGATGCACAAAAGAAAAAGAGGCATATTAAATGTAGTGGGAAAGTATATGGTGAACACACCAAACTGGTGGCAACTGATAAGGATGACCACTGCTGCTATGGTAAGCCTGGATGAGTGATTCAAGCAAAAAAAAATATATTTCTGCATAAACTTGTGTGTAACAGTACTATGATGTACTATTATCCGTGACAGTTCAGCAGTACACAGATATTAAGGTTGATTTTTGTACTTGCTATGGGAGACTCAACTTGCGGGACACAGCACAACAGGGTACTGGGTCCAGATTGAGAGGTCTGGGCTCTACCTTCTGGGTAGACGAGGACTTTCTGGGAAATGCTTCAAATGGGTGAGCGTTCTCTGTTCTGAGAGAAATGGTAATATTACTCGTTGCTTTCCGACATAGATGTTTTTCAATTTCTTGGTACAGAGGTAGGGCAGCAATAACTCTGGAAGTTAAATTCAAGAGACTCTTACTAGTTCCCAGTCCAACCATTACTAGTTCTTTATTTCATATACAATTGAACATCAGTTTGTCACGGTTTGTGATTTCAAAAAGAAGATGGCATTAGAAATGCTCTTAATTACAGTGCCCCTAACATTACCTATTATTTTACTTTTTCTTGTAGGTTTTTGTATGGATTTGTTATATCGACTGGGAGAGAAAGTTAATTTTACCTTCGATGTTCATTTGTCTGAAGACGGGAGCTATGGCTCTCTGCGAAGAGTGAGTTTGTATCTCTCTTATGGGTGATTTCATCAAGGGGACGGCGTCAAACAAACCTACTGGTATAGCGTACATACGTTGATCAATTCGATGGGAAGTATGAAAAAAAATATCAAGAAGAGATACGGGTATATCAAGAGTGACACTTATACCAGTTAAAAAGCACTCTAAACAATCATTAATTAGAACGAATAAAATATTTTTATTCCAAAGGTAAATGGCACGGACATGAAGCGCTGGAATGGTATGGTAGGCGAAGTGATCGATGGTAGAGCTGATCTTATTGTGGCTGCCTTGACAATCAATAATGAAAGAGCTGAGTGGATCGAGTTTTCCAAACCTTTTAAGTATCAAGGACTTACCATACTTGTCAAAAAGGTAAGATCGTATTTTATGGTTTATGACTGTCTTGGAAAATCGGCAGCGTCTAAGGTAGACAGTCAGTCAGTTGTTTGGTCAGCGAGTCTCTCGGTTTACGTGTCATCCTGTCCAGTCACTCGTCGTGGCGTCCAGTCCGTCAGTTCACATCAATCTGTCAGATTTTCAGTTCGTCCGTCCGTCTGTCCGTCCGCTCTTCTGCAAGTCCGCACGTCTACACATTTGTACGTCTGCACGTCCACACACCCGCACTTTCTACGTTTGCCCCTTGCTCGTTACGTTCGTTTGTTACTCCGTCTGTCCATGCGTACATAATTATACATCCTGCCATTACAGCGCTCGTTACAGCGCTCGTCCCGTGTCATCTCCGCTCTCCATATTATCAAGCTGTCGTCCATATCTTCCACAAGGTTAATTATGTTCGGCAGCACGTTCGTCGTTGTATTTGTCAGAATTTTGTTGAGTCTGCCCTTATAACCATCGATAGTTTGTATGCGACACCCTCAATTCATTCCGCGCTGATGTGAACGTGATATGATCTGTTATCGATCCAGTTGTGAGTTCTTTAGTGAGGTAGTCAGTCATCATTTACCAGTGCGCAGTTTGTGCAGCAGGTGTGTATTACATTTTAGTCATATACTGAATGAATTACTTTCAAGTCTCAATGCACTGCAGTCCCTTGAAACTAACCAGTGTCACATTTTATTCTTATCAGGATCAAAGTAGGAACAGACTGGACTCATTTTTGCGGCCTTTCCAGATAAACTTGTGGCTGCTGGTTCTACTCTCAGTGCACATAGTGGCAGTTATACTCTACCTGCTTGACCGGTTTAGCCCGTTTGGCCGGTTCAAACTAGCTCGGAAAGAAAAGGAGGAGACAGCTCTTAATTTGTCCAGTGCTATGTGGTTTTCATGGGGAGTGTTACTGAACAGTGGCATCGGAGAAGGTTAGCTATAGATTCACATGTGGTACAGAGTTAAATAGTCTTTTATTTCCTATTTGACCTTGGTTGTACACTCTCGGTGATTGAATAGAGCAGTAACTTCATACTTGGGTCATGTTGCCCATCAATCAAACCTAAAACTATTCCTAAAAAAATCGGGAGTTGGTCATTTACATTTTGATAATTACTTGAGAAGCGCTCAAGGTAGTTTTGTCACGTTTGCTTACAGACATCATATATGTGGATGTGGCAGTTTCATCATCAGTACGTTGATTTTAACACATTCTTCTGTTCAACAGGCTGATTATATCTTACTTATCAATTTTTTGTGTGCCGTATTTCAGGTACTCCACGTAGTTTCAGTGCTCGGGTGCTGGGCATGGTATGGGCAGGCTTTGCAATGATCATTGTCGCCAGCTACACTGCTAATCTGGCAGCCTTTCTTGTTCTTGATCGGCCAAAGGCTGTGGTCAGCGGCATAGAAGATCCAAACGTGAGTCAAAGTAGTTGCATTAACATCGTAGCTTGAGGCGAGGTCACAAGTTATTGTTATTGAACCTGCATATATACCCGAAATCCCTTTTACCTCTGAGGGCAACATAAAAAATTTCCTTCCTGTTCTTGCAGAACATGTGTGTACATTTTTATGTTAACCTTTCGCTGTTGTAATCAGGCAGCGTAACAACTTACCCACATGAGGGGATGATGAATTATTTTAAGTATTAGAATTGTAAGACTGGCGAGACCCGCAAGGAGTGTCTCGAGATATGTGGGCCAGGAAACCCTTATCATACTCTACAGCTTGTCAAAGCCAGTAAAAAACAAACAATAAGAGGTGTTAAAATATGCAGTTGAAGAAGCCGTAAGAAGAAATACAAGGGATAATCGAAAGGACTTACAGCGTTTCATGTTCATTTTTTCCAACTCAGCTGCGTAACCCGTCTGTGAATTTCAAGTACGCTACTGTAGCAAACAGCAGTGTTGACGCGTATTTCAGGCGGCAGGTTGAGCTGTCATCCATGTATACTTTTATGGAAAAATACAATGTAAAGACAGCGAAGGAGGCCATACAGAAAGTGAACGATGGGTAAGTGTGCTCCGTCAAATTTATTTATTGTTATGAGAAATTGTGCAACATTTGTTGTGCGGCATTCCTATTTGTGAATACTACAGATACCCGCTTTGAGAAGTCGATTCAAGTCGATCTTACAACAATCAACTAGTCTCAGAGTGCATACAATTGATATTTGAGCGAGAGGCTCTTGTGTGTATGTCAACTGGCCACATTGTCTTTCTTTTTTGCAACATTATTACACGAGGCAATACTTGAGTGTTAGGTTATTGTTTTCAGCGGTAATAATTGCAGGACAATTTTTAGAAAATCGTCACAGTTATAGTTTACCTTTGTAGACAGATGCTGATGATCAGCGTCTTTAAGAAACTAGAAACGTGGATAGATTGTGGAAATTATTTACTTTGTATCGTGTACTTTTAATCCGTTTCTCATGAAGTATGAATGGTCATGCGATTTTCCTTGTTGCAGGGAATTAAAGGCGTTCATCTGGGACTCACCCGTCCTTTATTACGAAGCCTCTGTAAACTGTGACCTTACTACTGCTGGTGAACTGTTCGGGCGGTCCGGTTATGGCGTTGGCATGCCTAAAGTGAGTTTATGTGTGTTGGAGTTTCTTTCCAGTCTTGATTATTAAACTCTTAAACTGTTCTATCGAAATCTAAACACACCAAGAGGTGCCTGTATTGGTTTCCTGTTTGAATGGAACGAGAACAGAAAGAAGTATGATACTGTATGGGATAGTCAGTTCATGAAATGTTGAGCGCTTTTCGATTGAGTGTTGTAAAAGCCAGAACCACAACCAGTCCGAAAAATCATCAACAATACGAGCTCAGAAGGCCGCTTTGAGAACTCAAATCAGAAAAGGGGTAACCAAGTCGCAGTAGCGTTGAGTTTTTGCATCTGATCAAATCAGAGTGTTGCGAGTTTTCAAGATCAATTACAGGGTAGATTAAAGCAAGAGCAAGTTATGAAACATAGCCGTCAGTGGGGCTCTGAAACAATTCTCCAGTGGTTGTTAATGAGAAAGACGTGCAGTCTTCATGAATTAGATTTCAACTAAGAAGCTTTTACAAAAGTGTGTTGTGAGATTAGTTAATCCTTCCCTTATTTCTTTCAACAGGGTTCTCAGTGGAGTAACGCAATTTCACTTGCTATTCTAAACTTTCACGAGAGCGGGGTTATGGAGGAATTGGAAACAACGTGGATCGACACCAAGCAATGCGATGAACAGAATAATTCGCCTGCTACGTTAGGGCTAAATCACATGCTTGGTAAGTGTGCTTGCAAACTGAAACTCATTTGAATTAAATCGTACTTTTAGTTGAATTTATGATTGCAAAGTTTTTGTTCTTTGATTGAAAGTATTGACGTTCGAGCTGTTGCTGGTGACATGAAGTGGTAAACAAATCGAACTTTTAATTCTCGCAATAAGCATACATTTTCAACCGTTACCGTCATCATACGTGTGGTAGTGTTACGTGTTTTAGTTTGTTCAATTGACGTGTTTTGTCCAACAACAACAACAACAAAAAAAGCGGCCACCTGGAAGGTGAAGTATTCCAATATTGTCGAGGATAATGCTATTCTTTCACTTGCCTTGTGATGCCATTAGTACCCAGATGACAGTCATATTATGTTGGTTATTAGTGGTCTTGGAAATAAAGTTCAAATTTCTGTTGGTAAACAGGGGTATTTATCATGGTTGCTGCTGGAATAGGAGCTGGAATCGTGATCATTATCTTAGAAATCCTCTATCACAAGCACCGTGGGTGGAAAGAAGAACAAAAAGAGCTGGCCAAGAAGACAACAGATAAATGGCGGGCTAATATCATGATGATGAAAAAGGAACGCACCACAAATGGCCAACAACCTAATGGTGTTCTCGATTCACACGCCCCGCAGAATGACGGGATAGCTCGTAGAAACCCAATTTACAACCCGGAGAATCACGTGGACAGCACGTTCACGTACAATTGAGCAGGCGTGCGCTTCGTCTGCGATTTTTTATACGCAGAACACAGAATGATAGTCGCAACCGTCGTTGATGAAAATATGAAAGATGCAATTTTAACCATGCATCAATTGTTTTAAAATTTGGGGAAAAATTAGAGTCACGAAAATGTGATTAATGTTGTAGTTAAATTAACAAATCTACAGTCCATGTATAACAGAGCTCCAATTGCATCCAACAAGAGTCAATTGACACTTGGGAAAAATTGGAGGAAAGCGTTCAAAATGAACTAAATTACATTGTTCTTCAGAGCAATTCAATTAACTTATTAATGCTTCACTTTATTGTTCAACAGGGGTTTCGCTGGCATTTTAAGAGCAAGCTCTCACTCAAAGTTTTCGGCGATTCGTATTTATATATCTGCATTTGGTATTAATTGTTGATATTGATATTTATTGGCCTGTTTCATAAGGTAGTATTGTGCCCTTTTACAACATTGGTAGTTTATTATTGTTTGATTGACACCTCTGTTAAGGCGGCATGGTGCACCTTTGAGTTGGAGGAACTGGTACTATGGAAGCAGTCACAATTGAGGACGATACGGATAAACTTTAGAGTCGCTATTCTCGAGGCACTCGCCGCATACAGTTTTTGCGCATTCATGACTTTTACCTTCTGGTTTGGTTGCTTTGATTTTGGAAATATTTGAAGGGTGGAATTTTTCGAACGTTTACTACGGCAGCGCTGTAATGCGGTGGCATTTTGTGTTGTATTCTTCTCACCCTAGTTGACCCATACTGTTACGAAGGAGAGAAATGACCGCAATAATCTCTATACTTACTATTTATATGATGGAAAAACTCACAATGTGCTGTTTGTAAATAATATTTATTCAATATTAATGAGTAATACACCCCAGGATTGCGCACGAGCATGATCCTGGGCAAAGATCTTAAGATAAGATTAAGATGGGAAATATTTGATAATATATAAAACAATGATAAACGTTAACTATACATAAACTACAGATAAATATACGTTATTAAATGATTATTGGTACGATGAAGAGAATAGAGGATTAAGTTTGATCGTTTTATTTAAATCTTCTGCGATAATGTCTTATAAAAACCCAGGTTATCTTGAAAGATTGTGATCTTACAGAAGACCAAAAAAATATGAAATGCCTTTTTCACTGTAGAAGAAAAAGGACAATTTGCTAAACCAGTAGAATACGCAACCAGCAAAGTAAGACAGTTTTAGTCTCCCAGCGTACCAGCTACGTTGGAATAGAGCACAAGTTCGATAAACAAGTGAAAAACGCGACTGAAGTCTTAAACTATTCAGAAAGATCTGCGGATAGAATCATCGAAACCATGTGACTAATGTGACCACATGTTACGCTGCTATGTCACCTAATTATTACCTTTTAACTCAAAGTAGTAAAGTTCACAATTGGTGTCTCGACGCGAATGAGAGCTAAACTACTTATTTAATGATGCTGATCTATTTATTTCTCAATATGGCTAGCTATACCTTTGTTGCCTTATTTATTACACATTAAGGGGTGAGCTCAATTCCTTTGACAAATAATTCAAACACTTAAATGATTTATTGGTAGAAATACACGCAGCTGTGTAAATATACAAACAATAACTATGTCAGCAAATTTAACATTTATCTCTGTCAATTTGATTACTTCGGTCGAGGTGGTGTGGCTACCGCACAACATTCATATCGATAGTAAATCAGGGGTGAGAGTTTCATTATTATCATGATATGTGTAAGTGCGTATATGATAAACTGTTTTTGCCTGATTAATGATCCATGATTGTGTTTGTGACACTTGTAGACGGGATAAGCTCGTAAGCACACATGACCTCTCGAAAAACTGGAAATGATATAAGGAGCATTAAGACGAAGAAATTGGCCAGTTTTACCTTGATCTAAAGCAAAATTCCTTGAACTGATTTAAAAAAACAATGTATAGCCGCTGGAGGGGGAAATTTCCAATCAAATCCTAAGAATTATATAGTTTGAACTACTTTACAAGCCAGTCATCCAGCAACGATAGTCTGCAACTTAGACACTCAACCTGTCATGGTTTGTTAGACAAATCGGACGTAGCAGAGATCGCTGACCCGGGTCGCTAAAACGAAAAACAGGAAAGCGATTGAAATCCAATGTGGGGCCGATAGATCTTTGCACGTTCTGAAGGTATTTACTACAAGTGGGAATTGGGACTACGTAGAAATAGATCAAGGTGTTGGAGAATTTAAATTTTCCTTTTTACTATGATGAGAACAGTTGTTTGTAATGAGAGAAGAAGAGTCATGGTAATAGTATGTTCCTATTGCCAGTCGATAAGCGTATTCAGAATATCTTTAAGTCAATCAATCAACGAATTTTTTTGCTATCAGTTGCTTAGGTGAAAGGTTCAACTTCTCGTTTGCCAAACAGTTCTGCATTTTGTGTTTTAAAATTAGACTTTTACCGCCGCTTCGCGCGGTAAATATCGGGTCTCAAGCCTGTGTAGCTGACATACCTCACGATATGCACTTAGTGGTCTCGCTGTACTTAAATGAATTATTTTTTTGTCATTTACCCTGACGTCGTTTCCAGTGGAGAGGGTCTCCTTGGAGATGTCATTGTAGTTTTGTGGAGTCAGTGAATGTGTTTGGAACGCGTCATGCGACTCGGACCATACCTTCTTTTTCCTGTGAAAGGCTCTTCTCACCTATCATAAGCAACAGAACATAACCTCCCTGTCTTAATCTTGATCATTTTTTAAATATTAAGGATGGTTTATCAGTATCTTCTACTACTTCAGTGGGGAGGCATACTCACCTCAGAGTTGAGAAGACAGTGAAACAAGAAGATGAAAAATCCCTGGAAAAATGAAAAAAAATATTTTCCTCTTTATCTCGATACAAATTCAGGCCCAGAGGGCATATTTAAGAATGGAGCACGGCGATGAACCTTGTGATGAGAACACGAAGTAAATATATCACAGATTTACATGAACAGTTTGCAGAATACCATAGGTTGAAACATGATTTGATGGTCTTACGCTGCTTCGCCAACTTTCGTCCAGTTATCAGAAGTAGCCTTTTTGTTTCGGGAAAAGTGTTCCATTTGTTCACTGGGGTAATCTTCTTTATCCGTTACCATCATTTTGACCTTTTTTTAAAGTTATTCTTGCCTGTTCTGAGGGTATATCCTTGAATTTGGTGTTAAACTATGAAACAAAACTTATCACAAACCTGTATCGAGTTAAAAATGGCGAATAGATACTGAAATGCCAAAGTATCGCTGTTGAATGTCAATACTCCAAATAACCATGTAATCCCCAACAAAGGTAGGAGTACAATGGCCGACTGAACACCTGACCTGTTACGATAAAATTGGTGTGCTTAGCTCTCCCCACACTTGTATCCAGTCCCTTCTCCTTATTCGGGAAGTGATTGATGAGAAGGATCTAGCGAGCTTGCATTGCATCAAGCGCCTTTGCGGGCCTTGATCCCCTTCCCAGATTCCTCTGCAGATATACGAAAAGGGTGACGACAGAGCATGAGTCTGGCCTTGTCCAAGTGACAACAATTTACAAGGAATAGGGTAGCAGTGACAAAGGAAAGGTTTACGATATTGAACAGACATAAGACGTAGATACCTGATGTGAGATGGTGGAAATTACCTGACGTAGTCCATTTCTAATTTAAAGTTTCAGGAAACTGAAAACTCTCTTTACCGTGTCACTCAACGTGTGTTCATCCTACCTTGCAGACTGATATTTTGTACTATTTTCTGTTGTTGGATGATTCAACCTGAGAATCTCCTTAACAACCATCCCAAGTATGATCGAATTTGCCTATGGAAACAAAGACAGAAAAGTGAGCCCATTATCACCATATGTCGAAGGAAACGGAAAAAGGTAAATTGGAAATTTTCATACCAAAGCAATGAGGATAACGGGTACGACGAAACTCCAAATGGTTCCTTTCTGAACAGATAACCAGCAACTGCAAAAAAAGAAAGAAACGAATGTAGAGAAGAGATATGTATGAAGTGCCAAATTTGGCAAATAAAAACGATAGCTGATGTAAACTTTTTACTTCAGAAGCAACGTATTTCGAGCATGATCGTTTTGCTAATTGGCGCTGTATGAGATGCAGGTTTATGGATATGAGGTTCATCGTGTCAATTCTTCGTTTTTCTGTTCATTCAAACGGCGTGCTGGTTATTTCCGACGTTGATTGATAAATTAATGAAAGCTTACTTACCTTGTTTCTGTGCCATATCCGTCAAAACTTGCAGATAATGTGATCACAACAAATACAAATGGAAATCCTGTTTAAATCAGTTCAAAGCTCAGTTAAATAGGCTGTTTGATTCATTTCATAATGGTCGGTTTTCTGAACTACCGTCTCACTTGAAAAGAGATCCAGTACGTGCTTCTACTTTAAAAAAGCTATCTATATTCATCAATTTCTGTTGTGAGTTAAAACAAATTAATATAAAGTTGGCAATTAAACACGAGAAAGGCTTTGAAAAAAACTGACCTGCCTTTAATCTTTGAAGAAGTGCATGCAATCGAGTGGTGATAAAGAGGTCCGATAACCACATACTTACCATACAAGGAAAAAATGACAACAGTAAAAAGATAAAAAGAAAGAAAGAGTTTGATGACTAGAGATAAAGAAAGCTAACAGAACGATGAGGCGAGCGGTTTACAAACAATAATTGGCCTACCCCATGCACAAGCGCAGTATTTCTTTATTCTGCTGTGTCCCGTCTCAAACACTCTTACTATCATCAGGTAGAGCCAAACCCCCTCGACCAACATCCAGCAGAACGAGACAATGTTAAAATAGTGAAGAAGGACGGCCACGATCTTGCAAGCTGCCTAATACCAGCAATAAAAATTATGTTTGGTTTAATTTAGGTTGGTAGTGTGAATAATGAGATATTAATAAGGACTCGAAAAGTTCACTGAGTAATGTTTTATACAATTAGAAATCAGTGCTGAATAGGACATCGGAGTGCAACAGAGCATCGCTCTTTGTTTAATCATTTAGATTTCTATGTCACTTTTGTCCTCTTAAATTTCCTCTGTTTTTCATTCCTTTCATCCTATTAGATGGTAAGTCGTTATGCAGATCATTAAGCGTATTATTAAGAAAACCAGTATCGCTATCACCTTGTTCTGTGTGGCCTCGATTCCTGTCAGGAAAGTGATCTGGGAAACTGCCAGCGCCACGACGAGGTTCAGATGAATTATACTTGTTTCGGATTTAGTCAGCCTGCCAAAATATGTACAGCAATCAAATTGTTATCTCGCCAGGATATTACGTGGTGCCAATTTTTTTTCGAAAGTCAGAATTCTGTCACGGAACACAAAGTGAAAGACAATTTACTAACTAAATTATTTACATTGCATCCGTTAACTTACTTGAGACATATGATCGCAACAACTGTGAGAATTTCTCCTAAAAGTGATAAGCCACAACCAATATATGTGATAAGTTGCAAGGCTTGAACGTGAGGCTGACCTGGCTGGGTTACCTGTGCAAGTAGACACCGCTGAATACTTAATACACCTTGGAGAGTTTTCATGTTTTGAGGTTTGGATCAATTTAAGAAAAGAAGCATCCAAATGTCACAAAAACAACCGACAGACAAAGAGACATGGACACAGACACACACGAGATCTAGGCTGACCGACAAGCAAACACAAAGACGCAGATTGGCAGACAGATAGACATACAGAATGACAGACTAACTAACCAACGGATAGACTAACTAACCAATGGGCAGTCTAACTGACCAATGGACTGACTGACAGGATGAATGAATAAATGAATGAATGACAGACAGCGAGCGAGCGACTAAATGGACAACTGAGAAGTCGAAGTAGAATTGCTAAAATGTCGTCTCAGTAAGCATTTATAGTAGATAGCATTCACTCTGATAGGGATTTTGATTCACTCAGAGAAATTTCATGGCAACCTACATAATATACGCTCCTGCATAAAGGAGTACAATAAGTTATTATACCTGTGTATCATCAGAGACTCTCATAAGTATGCCAAAGTGAGTAAGGTGGTTACAACGACACACTGTGGCCTCAGCGTCTGAAAGCCCCTCGTCCTTGTTACATCCATCAATCGACCAGTAGCCCGATGAGTTGCTTGAGTTTCCCTTTGGAAATCTCCAAAAAGCACACTCCATAGACATATGCTCCGAGCTTTTGAACTTGTATCATAAAAACAAGAATGAAATAGTAAGTCTTGAGCAATCAGTAAGTTGTAGAGGATATTTTGTGACTCTCGTCTCTCTCTTAGGCGTTAGTAATGGCAACTCTCTCTCGTTTAAAGTTTTACCAAAATTAATTTCCAATCATTCTACTTATCATCCATCGAACTTCCTAAAAAAAAAAACCATATAAATTAATAACTTTCTAACTTTGATTAATTTGTAATATCTATAATTTTGATTTCTTGGTTAGAATGAATCGGTTACAATGATCTATTTGTTTTGATATTAAGCTCATATTTACATTGGTACTCTTTTTTTTTAACAGAAAACGTAGATCACTTAAGTTGCAGCTTATCGCTTTACCTCTTAGCTTTTACGCTTCACGTGTACTAAAATCAGGAATGGGAATTAAACAGTATCGACAGAACTGTTCGTCAAAAATACTTGTAACACGCTTGAAATATCAACCTGTGTGTGCTCCAATCGAATGGTAACTTGGCCATTGAAAGACTTGTTTGAATCAGGGATTATCAATCCTGATATGATTTTGCTGTTCAAAAAGTGGGGCACTTGCTGGCTGGATTCATTGCTGTCGTAAGGAAAAAAAATTCATTTATGTTTATGTATGATTCATATGAAAACTTTAAAACACAAGGGGCCTCTCGCACTTTCCATTAAGTGGAAACAGTTTGTTAGTTTTACTTTCCGTGTAAGGGTTGTCCTGTGAGACCTGTCTATGCATGTGGTTGATGACTAACTCTTACATCATAAGTTTAAAGTAATTAGCCTTTCTGAAGGCGTTTCCCACCTTTATGCCGGAAATCCGTGAAAGAAAAGGCACTAACTGATGCTTTTCGATAAATGATCCACTAAATGCAAAAATATTTCGAGTCAGTAAGCCCCACCTGTATACGTGGCTGATATTCATTTGAAGAACTGTTTCCAATGATCTGTAAAATGCAGCAAAGAATCGCGTTCCATCTTGTCCTATAAAAATGATTAGATAAGAGAATTACAACACGTTCCCTGCAGATGTACAACTTAAGATCTGGTCGCACCTTTACCGCACCCGTGTGCAAGACTAACAGATTTAGAGACAGTTTTGTTATTAGCCACAGTACATTATATATATATATATATATATATATATATATATTTATTATGAGAGGAAAAAAGGACGCAACTGCAAGACTAATCGCTTCAGAGGATTAAGGATAGAGAAGAGTGAAGCAGTTTTGTCATAATATTTATTCTGCTCTGCTTCAACGTATTGAGCACTGTTCCACGCGAAAATCGACTTGCAGACTTCCTATATATATATTTATGTATATTTTTTAATATTCGTCTTATTGTATTGTACATATTCACGTAATTCAGTCGTTTGACTGCAAAGTGTTCTTAATAATAAACGATAATTCTCAATCACGTAGTAGGAAAAGCAATTTCTTCATCAAATGTTACGTCACAATTTACTTGGACTGTAATTTAGAGGTAGTAAGAGAAGCGTTTATGAGCGTTTTGAGAATTTAACTTTTGTTGATGGAAACCTAAATGCGCCGATATAGCCTTTAATAGCTTTTAATCTTTGAGATGTGGTAGCTGTTAAAACAATAAAATCCCTGCTGTTGTTTTATAACAATAAACATTCAGGAACAATAAACTTAAGATTACAGTAATGACTGAATTACCTCGTGTTGAATTTCCCAGAGATATGGTTATGCTGTTTTCGCTTTCAGAATTACTCGAAGGTGTAGAGCTTTTGAAGGAAGCGTCCAGATTTCCATAACCCGCTTTCATATCTTAAACACAGAGATATACTGTCAGTGTTTAAAGTTCAGCAAAATTCACCACATTTTATCGAAATCAAAGAAAAGATATGTTTTTCTCAGTTAATTATCATATATCTTTCATAGAGCTAGTTTACTGTTGATATTAAATAATTTGCTTCAGATTCCCATGCAATATTTATTCCTTATCAGCAAACTATTAATACACAAGTCTAAAAAAACGTAGAAAACTATGCAGTAGTGTGTACCTAAACTTGAATAATTAACAGCTATCACTGGTGTATCTTTGCTCACACGAGAAGCGATGCTTTCTCCGAGACGTTCAACCTCTCTGGCGATTGTAAAACCAAGGTTTGATTCAGAAGTGTTCTGGTTCACACCAATGTTATCTAGATCTTCTAGCAGATCACTTGTCCTCTTTCCAGCGGTCTGTGTGGGTTTGATTTTATTATAATGATTAGAAGTTTATTACAATCTGAAATAGTTGAAGAACCTAAGCCAGGTCACACAGGTCTAGAGGCCAGATCACACAAGTAAAGAAACCACGCCACACAGAGTTTAAACCATTTTATTTTAGTGTGTGAAGTAGAAGTAAATTCCTAGAAGGCAGGAAAAAGACCCTCCCAAATTATACTAAAAAAGATTAGCTGGGAAAATATGTACAAAGATACGACGCGACAAAAAACTTACCAAATGCTGAGAGAAATATAGGAAGGGGTTTAAACAGAACCAAAAATGAAATACAAACAATTATAAGGACGTAAAATGTGGAAAATGTAGGGAGGCGTAATTTATATGAAGAAAGTAATGGCGAATAAATGAATAAGTGAAGAAACGAAAAGAATACACGTAAATTAACTTTCGCAGAAGCATAAGAAATACATGAGAGAAAATTTAAAAAATGGAAACTCGTCCCAATCAGCTATAATTACTTTTCTCCATGAAGACGATTACTATTTTCCTAAATCTCCGAGATTACGTTGCAAATTCACACTTTCAAATAATGGCTTCTGACAAGCAAATAAAAATAGACAGTCAAGTGTAAGACTTATTACAGAAGACATAAGGACTGCTTTAAAGCACACAAGTAAATATACTCATGAGGCCTTCTTGAGAAAAGCAGAAATTGAGGAGCAATTGAAATGCTATTATGATGTATTTTTGTCCTACCTTCATCACCGAACGGAAAAAATCAGCAGTAGGACTTCTGTCGTTCACACGAGACCTCAAATCTCTTAATAAAGAAATTGCACGGTCCACCTGCGATGTAATAGATGGTTCTCAGTTCATATTTGTGAGGTGGATCACTGAGTTAAATTTTTGATTCTTCATACCTTTTGCGTATCCGAAAGTGCCTTGCAATGTACGTAATCGGGATACCTCGGATCTCCTTCGGTCTTACAACCATCCCCAGGAATATCTAGGAAAGTTGGCTGGATTATGAGTCAACTCAGCTTAAATGTTTTTGCATAATAATATTGTCCTCTCATGGATCCCTCTTATTGGTAAGCGTGTACATTGTTAAAATATCATACCGATCCTTGAGTCTTTTCTTTGGGGGAGGGGAGGGGCATGTCGCTCCTGTCTAAGTGGTGCGCCTTATCTTCTCAAGAGCTCTTAATGTCAAGATATTTTGTGTTACATTCACCAATTGCTTTCAAATTGAGAAACATTTGAACTCTAATTATAGCATTAGTTAATAAACAATAGGATATTTGGAAGTAAACTTAATGATATGTTTGTTTTCTCTGGGTTGACGACCTTATAATAAAAGCCTATGAAAAGGAAGATAAACATTTCAATTTAGTAGTACTTACCGTACAGGGGTACCTGTTTCACCAAATGTTTGCTTTTAATTGGCAATACCATCTGGCCACTAGGTGTTCTCATGGCTACATACATCCTCGAATTCCCTTTGCCTTGCTTAAACAAAAGTTCTATGTAGTGGAGTCGTGACTCCTCTAGATATTGAGGAGGAGATATTTGCACATCATTTAAATCGCTGCAAATGTCGTGTAAGAAAACGAAGCTCAGTACAAATGATTTTAAATTTACACCGAATGCCGTGAAACTAATTCATTCAATTCACTTGACTCTGTATGAAACGAATTGAGAAACAACGAATGTAATCAAACTAATTCTTTCAAGTTACTTGACTTCGAATGAAACAAAATGAAACTGATGTTAAGATTATGCGAGAGAGCATTAAATTCATTCTTGAAAAGTTAATTGTTTTTCTTGTTTTGTTTTTGTTTACATCTCCTATCAGCATTCATTACAAGCTTTCGATAGCTAAAGCAGATGTGAGTACACAAAAAATAAGGTACATTCATTTGGGAATCACTTCGAGATCGTTGTTTATCTTTCATGTCGTGTTTCACTTTTAGTATATGTATTCAGAAAAAAGGTTATAAACTGGTTATAATTCTAGGGCTAGTTCTCTAGCCCTAGTTCTCCAGCCGTAGATTTAATAAAAAGACAAAGGTAGTTATACCTGCAACAGTTGCTCTCGTTTACGTGGGATACATGTTGGGTTTGATTAATAATCGTTTTTTTATGTCTGGGATTGACGTCGCTACTTAGATACAGGCGGCAGCGGTCGTCACAAAACGTATAAAAGGTGTAGTTTCCAGTCTCCTGTGCTTGAAAATATGAACGGTATCGTGCTCCATGGTTGAGGTAAACGTCTTTCGGATTATAATCCTTGAAGAGAGAAAGATATCCACTTTCTGTGGCGTTGTCAGGGTAGCGAGGATTAGAAGTCAGGGCAGTGATCTTGACGCCACTAATGTTCAGCCATTTTTCGTCCAAAACTAGGTCAGGACCTGGGGTCAACATAAAGAATTATTCTAAGGAAGAATTAATAACGATGAAATGTCTCTTAATTTTTCTCTGAAACATCTCGGCGGGCCGGAATCTTAAATGCTAGAATGTGATTGGCTAATCGTGCGTTTGTGAACCGGTCCAGCTTTCTGCAATACGAACTACAATCCGAAAAATTTTTCCGCGCTTTTCGCAACAAAGCGGAAAAAAGCAAACTAGCAGAATTATAAGATTATACATCAGTCTTGAGAATCTAACTCAAGTCAATACGTCCATTGTAATATTGGTAGCTAGAAGCAATCATTTTTGTTCCACAAAAAGAAGAATTAATGAAAAACCTAGTTATCGTGCGTACGTTGTTTGCCATTAGATAACTTGAAGAATATTTTCTGCTTATTTATGTCACTTCATTTCTGCGTCGTTTTATTTAACCCACGAGCTTCGTGATGCATAAATCATTTTTATTTACAAAACGAGCCGATTGTGATAGGATAAAAAGGCATCTTTATATTTAACTTGTTAGAATCGACTTACAAATTGTAAGATCCGGAAATATTCAATTAAAAGATAAGACGTAATGAAGAACTCAATTAATTTAGACTTGGCCGCCATAATTTAAACGACCATGAGCAACGGATTTTAATCCTCCATCCTCTGAAAATTTGAAATAAAAAACAATTTATTCGGAATTAAGAGCTTGTTGATTGTAAATAAAAGAAGCACGACATGGCCTCATTTCGCTTTTTTTTTTGCGTGTCCAAGATTAATATATAGTGTGATCTCCGAACGGTAATTTTCGAAATTTTAATTTACCAGATACTTTTTGATAGTGTAATCTTAATTACTCAGACATTGCTTAGCTTGACATGTTTAGATTCGAGCGACAGGAGATGATGGAAGATTCCGGTCTAAAGACGTTTCAAACTTCAAGTCTACAAGAACCATCACCAAAGTTTCGTCCATTTTTTAGATAGATTAGTAAGGTCTGTTTTTTTTATATTTTTTTTTCATTTGGTGATGCAGATCTCCTCAAAGGAGATCTGTAAGCACGGTACTGAAAAGCGTGGTTTAAACTTAAAGTTGAAACGAAATTCGCAAATGATGCTAGAATTTTCAGTAGGTTATGCGATCTGTTCACAAGCTTTAAGCTAAAACCAATTTATGATAAATTGAAATTGCTATCGTAGTTCGCTTCCGATTCTAATTTTGTTTTTCAGTGTAGTAATTAAATATCCTTAAGTCCTAACTGTCAGCAAGCAAAACGGATGATTCATGTCGACAATTTTCCAAAGAAAAATAAAATTTTGTTGGTTTTGTTGCCTGACTCGTGTCCTCTGAAAAGATCCAATTCAGTGCTAAGAGAAGCTACACTAAAAAACCCGCTCATTATCTCGTAGTCTTTAATCTGTTAAATTACGTTTATTAAGAAAATTTGACTCGAACAAAATTGGAGGTGCAGTTACTTTTTTAAATGCGACCGTGAAAAACAGATTAATTTTCGATAGATTTGGACTAATTTTATGCTTGTTATTCTTCTTCTTGACTGCTCTTCACCGTGGATCTACTAGACTTATAACATTCTGTTTAAAGTCACCAATATTCCGTCCGAACAGTGCGAAGGAAATGATAATTTGACGAGTTTTAGGATAGGTACAATGGCCGCCGTGGCAAAGTACAAAAAGGTGGCCTGCGAGAATGTGTATTCGCGGTTCTTAAATAAAGCACTTACCTTCTGTCGAAGACGAGAAAGGTAAAATTACCTATCAGAGATTACAAAAGAAAGTTAAGTCGATCTCTGCAGGATGAGGTAAAGTCTTTGCTCATTTTGTTACTTCTCATAAGTATTATCTACTGACCTGAGCCAAGATAATGAAAAGGAAATCGCGGCTTTTCATTTTTTATACTTGGATTTTAACTCCAAATTTCATTTCTAGTTTCTTCTTTTATCATTGATACAAATTTTCTCATCAGCAAGAAGGCTTCGCTTCCCGTTGTCTTGTTCTTCCATCTGCCTGTCAGAATTTTTAGATATTTGTATTAAGCGTGCGCCAATCTGCCCACCAGCCAATCCGATTACTGCGAATGTGACAAGGTGTTAGCTTTTCATCAGCGAAGCAAGTAGTGTATACTAATGAACTGTCCATTACGGCTCTCTTGTCGCATGTTGATTTTCTTCTTAACTACTCTACCTTTGAGACCAGCAATGCCACTATTATTAGATGGAAGAACTGAAATATGAGTCGCGGTTACTTTTTCTGATCGGTAATGGTTTTCAGGGCGCAGAAGAAAAGCTAACAATCGCCTTCATTGTCCTAGGGGTTATTGACGAGTAAAGCTATAGAAAAAATAAATAAAGCTGGCTTGACTTGCGTCTATTGACTAACAATGACAGATTGTTACAGAAAAGACTCTTCAGACCCTTTATCTTGCCATGGAAAGCCGTTGGAATCGTAGAAAAGGCTAGTTACGTACAGAGGAGACAATAACAATAGGCAGGCAAATTGAGATAAATAAAAAGGAACACAAAACTTAAGCTCAAAAGTGCAACTCGGAAATTACAATCGCGTATCAAGATCTTGCTGATTTTGTGTGTTTTCTGTAAATGTGGTAATGTTTTGTGTAATCACTTGTTCTTGAAGTTTTTCCAACGAGTTTCTAATCCATGAATGTATTTTGCATGACTTTTCGTTCGTGTTCAAAATATAATACACAATGAGGAGTGATAATCCCTTGCAAAGTTATAATGGGAATATTGCAAAGCACAACGGACATAGATTACACTTAGATACCGTTTATCACCTAGTTTGACGGTTCAACAAAAATATTGTGCAAAGTAAATATTCCTGCCAGTTCTTTTTTTTTTTTTCAATCTTTACTTGTTCATTTTGAATTAATGTGCTTATTTAAGAAGTCAAAATGTTTTTGTCAAAACTATCATGAGGTTATTCAAACTCTTTTTCGGCTCTCGTTAGTGTTGCATGCACTGTCTGTAAGTCAGCTTGGTATACTCATATCTAAATTAATTGCATTGTTTCAATGACGGCTCGTTTACGTGATATGATAATGGTACAGATCGTATAATATTCGATGAGATAAATCAGACTCAAATCCCTTTTCAATGGAGGAAAATTTTCATCACGTAGCCTTTTACAATCGCGTTTCCACTCATGCTGAGAACTGATGACTTTAAACACGAAAGTGCCAAAAAATCCAAAAATCGATTTAGAGGGTATGAAGCTCTTTTAACATAAATAAACAACTTGAATGATAATCCTAACTAAGGCAAAGCAAGAGAAGAATATTGATTGTTGCGTAACGTAAACCTTGGACGGAGATGTATATGCCACGAGCCTGAAGAGCTGTGGCTAAATACGTTAATTTTGATCCAGTCGATCACACTCTTCCTGGAATCGTGGAGTTTAAAATTTTTGGAAAGCTTTTTGGAATGATGTACAGGTTGTTGATGCGAAACAAGGGCGAATCTATATAAGTCGTGACACATACTACTTACGCACATGCTCTTTTCCGTCAAAGCTTGGGTCAGCTGTGGCTAAATTAGTTAATTTCCATACCGGCAAATCATCAAACACAAAGTTTGTTTTTGTTTTTTTTTCTTTCCTTCCTTGGAATACTCATGTGTTACACTGACCGAGGCTTACGAGACAGATACAAAAAATCAGGATCCGTTTGGCAAGGAATTTCCACAACCCCTTCAATTCATGAGCAAATCCGCTTCGCAAGCTGCAATCTCTCTAATATCAATTGTGTTTATTTTGCGAGGGAGCGAAATTTAACGTGGTAAGGTAAAGATTAAAGGAAGATGCCAAGTATATACAGGGTATAGTTTACCCTGCTTATAATCTACTTGGAATCCCTTCGCTGTTGTATGCCTCGTTTGACAATTTAAAAATGTTGAAAAGACGATCGCAAGTTGCTGTGGATACTCCAATATTCAAAATTATACTTAAACCTGAAGTATTGTCCATTTACATCCCTCTCTTTTGAAAATGAAATGAGATAAAACGAAATCATAACTATCGAAAAATTATTGATATTGGATACGTAAACTGTCCGCTACTTGTACGCAGCATTATAGAGTGTATATCGGCGTGTACATCACTATGCATTTAGGCCCTTGACTCCCACTCGTAAAGGATGCATGCTTGGAACATCCATTTCTTGCCCATGGTAAAAAGATTGCACGATAGAGAGTAACCCCTCTCCCTTTCTCAAAAGACACCTAGAATTTAGCTTCAACGCGTAAGCGAGATGGAGAGAGAGAAAATGAAATCAGTCGATGGATTAGTAGTGTTCGCTCCTGTCATTGCAAAAATTTTGGTACCACAAAAGTTGTGAAAAAACGAAAAAAACAGTTCAGAGGGGAAGGGGTGTCCAGACCCTCCGGGCCCCCCCACTGGAAGAATTTAATAACATCTCAACAATTCAGTTAGTTCTTAGATCAACTGTATAATTTTTTTTTACCTGTGGGAAACCTCACTTCGCAAATGAATCCTTTGATCGTTTCGCAGCTCAAGTCATTATACTTCCCATACGTTTGTGGTGGATAATCCTTTGCAATGACCACACACGTTCCATCACCTGATGGCTCGTTCGGCTGCCAGAGCAAAGTTGATTTGTTCATTGGCTTACCATTAATCCATGTCCAAGTTTTATTATTCAAATGTAAGCCAATATACCACTCGTTATCTCTTGGATTAGAAAGATTTTGAATTTCTTGGGAAATGAACTCCCACTTTCTAATGGTCTCCAAGGTAACAAGATGCCCTCCATCTTGACTGCATCTTTCCTGACCATCGGCCCAATTGGCAGTATCATTGTTGTAGAAGATGAACTCGACGTTGTCGTGAATAGCTATTAAACAGAGGAAAACACACACTAAACACTTACACGCAGGTTCATGGCGGAGCTCGCAGAGCGTAGCCCCATAATTATAAAAAATAGTAGTAACCCATCAAGCCGAAAAAATTTGGATGTACGACCGTACGACCGTACAAGGTGCTACTTTTAACATGTGTGGTCAACTGTACCGCGGGCCCGCCAACGCCACGGCTTTGTCCAGAAGTCCAGTGGTCAATGCACTGGGCTCCAAGTCGGACGACCCAGGTTCTAGTCCTGGCCGGGGCAAGGCGTTGTGCCCTTGAGACGTGCGGGGAAAAAAATGCGAGCTCCGCTTTTAGGCTTGGCTAAATCTATATATTACTCTGATCTCAACATCGCTAAATTTTAAAACGCAACTTGTAACATCAAGGCAAAATATAATCGACAAACAATGGCATGTTTTTCAGTACAAAATATTATGGCGATTATATGCACGTGAGAAAAACGAGACTCGACGGCCAAATTAATCTTTTAAACAGAAATTTTTCTCGCTCTGTTATCTCAGTTCTATGTGCACTGTGAAATCAGGGTGAAGACACTTATATCGAAACAGAGTCAACGTGAAGGGATGCGAAGAGGTAGAACTGAGTGGAATAAGAATGATGAACTTACGTACGACGAATTTTTTATGAAGAATTATCAGTAAAAATAACAAAATTGGACTTGTTTTTTTGGTAAACATACAATTGCTGAACAAGCCTTAGCTTGAAGAAAAAGTGGAACTAAAGCCAAACGACTTACGATACGTAACATTTTGTAATTAACATCTCACGCCATTCTATTCTGTAAGAGCGCGAGAGGATACGTGACAATACCTGACGCCGGGCGTTTGAACATATCGGAAATATCATTAATCTGAACCGATTCTTATCCCAGTAATAGCGTGTAAATTCGACATGTTTGTCCATCGCGCGCGAAACTTGTCAGCACTGTAGTCTGACACTTCTCAGAAGCAGTTAACGAAGTAAGGAAACCCAGGAAGTAAGAAACCGTAGCACTTTCTTGAGGAATTATTTTTTTTTCAGTTTTTATGGTTTATCTCCTTTTAAGTCTTTTCACATCCCCTTTCCTTAAAAATTTTGAAGACCTTGCGGCATTTTTAGAAGTTCACACCTTGATATTTACTTGAACATAAGACTGGGAACAACTCTAGTTGAAACAAAATATTTCAATTTGAGAAATGTTCTCATTCCTGTTGGTGTCCTGTTTTGGTCTAGCTGTTTTTAACGTTACCAATTTCCTTTCGGATGTATTTGTAAGTTCCTTAGAGTACCTCTTTGGACGTACTTTGTGTGACTTGTGCCGAAAACGGAATAGATAAACAAGTGGAATTTTAAATACAGTTTTGATGAGAAATAAACCCCAACACCTGTTCACCTGCTTTATTTTTGCACTTCGAGCAAATATAGTTTTAGAAGTTGAACACAAACTGTTTTGTATCGCTCTTTGAAAGAAGATTACAGAATTTAGGGAATTGGTAATTATGTCAATTAAAGTTTATTTTGGAGAAAATATTTAATTTAGACCGACTTAGGTTCGTCCTAAAATGATTTTCAATGCCTTGAGACAATGAAATCAATAAGAAGCGATGTTAGTTTTGGGGATGATATCTGAAAAGTCGATATTAATAATCGCAAGTGAGGCTTAACTTTAAAGAGACTTACCTGAATAAGACCCTAATCCTCTGACATCTATGGTAGTCTATACATACAGGAAGAAGAATATCATGTAAAAAAACACTTAGGAAGATGTATGGTTCATCCATTTTTATGGGAAATTCGAAAAAAACATAGCACCATGAATAGTGTAAACTAACTAATGTAACTAACCAGAATTAAATTGCAAAGACCAACAATGAACGATTTCTTCAAAATGTTTTGGTCATCCATATTCCTCGTTTACGTTCGTTTTGGTAGGATTATAAAAGCTGTTGCCGATTGCAACTGTTCGAATTGTTATCTCTTTAGGTGTTAAGTGCGAATAGTGCATTGAATTTCATATTCTTGTTGAAAGAACAATGGAATTGGATTTATGTTGGATAAAAGGGACAGTAGTGTTTGTTTATGTACCATGAAGAGTGGCCAATCGGAATTGCGGCAGCTGACAGTTTCTTGCTTTCGTTTGAAATGATGCTTTCAATCTTGCTTAAATTCATATGATTGCTTTTCTATGTGTTAGTCATTAGGCACAAATTATAGCAGATAAAACTCTTTATTCTTTCCTTTTCTTTTTTCGCTTCAAAGTTTAGAGCTAATTTAAAGATGATATCTGTAGAGAGGAATATCATATTGAAACCTAGGAAATGAATCTGAAAATTTTCCTCTACTACGTGCCTGAGATTTCAGTTGACATATTACTCTCAATCTATACTATCCTAGTTATTTATATCCTTCTTATTTGTTTCAAAGACAGGTAACTCTTTATCAAAACAAACAGATAAACGCAGTTGATTGGAAACTCAGCCATTTTGATTAAATTTCTCGCTTACTTATTTGTTTCATCACTAACGTTAGCAAACAGAGTTCTTTCCTCATTTTTAATTTGCTCGTAAAATTGACGTTTCAGCCGTCAATTTCGACAATTGCAGCGAGGCAGGTTGACAAAATGGTATTCATAAAGTGTTTATCTGTGGCTTCGGCTATTTTCAAACCCCTCTTACCTTAAGACTCTTTTGCTTATTTTCAAGTCTTTTTACTACATCACTATCTTTTTGTTTGTGAAAAGAAATTTATGCTCAGCTTTACAGCTGTTTACATTTCAGAAAAAAAAAAACACTCTCAGCAAGTTTCGAGAGGCATTAGCTTTAAACTAACGCTCAAGTATACTTCTGATGCCTCTACATCATTTTACATTTTAATCATCAGATCATGGAGGGGTTGCAAATTTATCATCATTGGATAACAAGATCAAACAGTTATTTTTTCTTTCAAGTAATATGTTTCCAAGAGTAACGAATTTAATTTGAAAAATGCTCTGATAAACCATAATTATTATTTAAGTCTAATTTACATTCGTCTTTCCCTACAAAGTGATAATAATTCAGCTTAAATTGCATTTTATCGGTGGATGTATAGTTTTGGCCAAAAAAAAAAAACTAACACATTACAGTTTTTTGTCTTTTCGCTGATTTTTAAATAACCAAAGATCACGAATGGATAAACATTTTGGCCCTATTTCCAGACTCTTGTGTGTTCAGAGTTCGGTATTGTGTTGAATCGCATGGGTGGTCTTAGGGAGGGTGTATCAATTGAATCAGTTATGGATTGAGGTTCAATAAAAAATGAATGTGAAAGATAAGTTCTTTTTATTTATAACTGACAAACACTGTCATGGGTGAAAGAGTTGAGCGAAGGAAGATGTATTTGAATTCGGTTCATTGAATAAACTGAGCCCAAGAGTAACGTGAGGTAGTTAATCCGTTGATGTTTCAGTTGAGAGAAGTCCTGAGTTAGACTATTGACGGTGGCAGAGGCTGACATTTCGACAACCTCAGCGGAGGTCCGCAGAGTCGATAAAAGAGTTGTTGTCAGATTGTTTTTGATATTATTTTCTGTGAAGGCTCTGGTGGTGTAACCAAAACACGTTTTCATACTAATGGATATGAGTAATATAATTAAAATAATTATGACGCTTGTAACTCTTTCCAATCAAGTGGCGTAGCTCGTGAGCGTCTAAGTTGTTCGAGAGGTGTTACCAGTAGTATTATTTTAGGAATATGTTAAAGTTTTTAGTTCAGCGCAAAGTTCCAGGCTAAGGCGAGGTAAAAAAATCTCTAAATTTGCCGTTAAGGTAAGAGTGAAATAGAACATAAGCATAAAATATTGTCAAGCCACTGCCGTGAAGACCAGTATAAAGTAGGAGCTTTGAATAAGTCGTGTGGTCGTATCTGAATAAACACAGCTGGGAATTTTGCACTTGATAGCCTTTAACTATGGATTCGCGGTCAACTGATTTGCATATTGATCAAAATAAACTTTTAATTTTTTCCGAAAATGAAAACAAGTTCTGTCGTAACGAAAAAAATTGGGAGATTTTGTGGGCGAGTCGGTGGGAGCGAAATCGTTGATTTTGATGAGCTGCATTAGTTGAGGTGGGGCGAACTGGTAGGGGTCGAAGGTGCAGTTGGGCGAAACCTTCATATACTTCTTTCGTTTAATGAAGTCGTCGTTGTAGTTGTTCATAGAAAATACGTGGTTAAGGTATTTGTTTTTGTCGAATGAGCTGTCTCGCGAGATGCAAACTAGTTGCATGCCTCTCGCTAGACTTCTTATAGTCTGGCTTTGTATGGTGTTGACCTGAAAACTGATCGTTGTGTGTTCTCGTCACGACTTGTTAGGAAATTTTTGTTTAAAAAGTCTACAGTCCTCTTCGGCTTCTCTGATAAATTCTTATCAGCGTTTTCTTCGTTGAGGTGGTGGAGGAATGCGTCAATTTCGCCTTGGTGCCTGATGGTGAATGTACAGTCAACGTAGCTTAACCAAAGCGGTATCGTTTGTCGGCAAGTCAAGAGGACGCGATATCTCTTGTAAATAAAATCTTTATAATTTGAGCAAAAAAGTCATAAAGATTCATATCACTTTAAGATCAATGCAATGAACCGGAAGGTAATTTGAGCCTTGAAAAGCCATTCCTTTTTAAAGTCATTTGAAACATTCGTCAACATGTAAACCTTCCAAAATGCTGAAGGGACGGAACGTTTTCCTCATTTATTTTCTTGTTTCAAAACACAATACCAGCATTAAACACCAGTATCTCGATCCACACATCTATAGTTTTGTAGAAGAAGCAGACGAAAATATTTCACGGTATTGTCGTCTCACTTTTGTCGCATGTGAGTGGCAAAAATTTGGAAATTTACGGGGCACCAAAATTAGTTCCTCTCTTAATCTCCAACATCTACCGGTATCGCTTCAAATTCACTATACTGAAACGAAGCCAAGAACCTTTGATCAAATAAACATAATTTCTATGTGATAATATCATTGACAAGGGAAACCGAGGTCGATCTTTTCGTTTTATATTTCTAAGTCAATCGTAAAGAAGTTTTGAGCGACTTTCGAATTAAAAAACTCCCGAATTCAAGAAAAAGTATAGTACCAACAAAGATGAAAATAATGTTCACACTTCTAATTATCATTTATTGTGTTACTGAGTGTTTTGCTTCCACTAGTATTGAACACGATTATCTTCTACATTTTTTTATCTTTTAATGCTGTACACTGTACTTTCCAGCTGGCACTTTTTCGCAGGCGAATCACTTTCGTAATTTCGGCAAAATTTTACTCAACAGATCACCTTAGCAGATGAGGAAGCCTGAATTCTGACCATTGGAATGAACGCGCATCTCATTCAAACAAGCGAAATGAAACTCGGTATCCCTCGTTCGAATCGATCAAATTTGTTCATCTCACACCTCAATATCCTAAAATTACTCTCAAAGCGGTGTCCGACAAAGTATACATCCAAGCTGGATACTACACGATTCAGTTGGTTCTCGGGCCTTAAGCTTACGGTGAATCGACTTTTAGTGAATTTGTATTTCTTTCTAAATTTGCTCATTTTCGAGGTTAAATGCTATATATGGCTCTAAAACATTGTACTCGAGAAACTGTCGCCATGGATACCTTCGCTGAGAGAAATTTTCATTAGGTATAAACTAATTTGTTTACACCTTCACTTATCCCATAATGGCCGGATCGAGATACAAAACTTATTCCTAAACCGCATGATACTTGCCACGTTGAAAATATATATTATCCCAACCAGCTTCCAATAATGTGCAGGATTAGCGTCTCGAAATCGCAATTAGTTTGTACAAAAATGCAATATGTCTTCATTGCATGCATGACCAGTTGTTGGTATCAATACAGAACATCAATTACTTGCAGAAAGTTACTTCTGACCTGATCAAAACTTATTTTCTTTGTGAATTTTGCACCAAGAAACTTGTAAATTTGAAAAATGTAAACCAATGTACTTGAGCACGGAGAAAAAAAGTACTAATTTAAAGATTAAGAGCGGGTTTGACATAGCGATGTAATACAGCGATATACTTTCTTGACCACTCATAGGCTCGATTCCAGTCAAGTGTGAGCACGCGCTCCTTGACAGTAGCAACACAGACTCCCATGACAGCTGAAGAATAAAGTTCACATAATGACGAGCTCTAGAAAAAAAGTAAGCTTGTTCTGAAAATGCGAGTAGTTATAATGATCTTTTAATTTACATTTAAATGATTTCCGTTTTACTTTGTTCAGAGTGATCGTCTATTGCTACAGCCGGCCGAAATTCCAAAGGAATTTGCGACAATATCGGGTTTAAAAAGGGGATTCAGACAGTTCGACAGTTATCGCGAAAATTCTGTCACTTCTTTGCTTGACTGATTTGTGATGTAAATAAGAAAATAGAGAAGTTTAAGTGTTTTGGACATGCGTAGAGGGTACGAATGGGTTGTCTGCAATCAGTGATTAACAAAGCTCGAGATACAAAAGAGCGTCGCTGTAGGGAACAGCGGTAGGATTTAAATCGAAGGTAAGTTGCTTAACAACAAACGCAATTATCTTTCAACGTGAAAAGTCCCTTATAGTGGACATTATGTTTACAGTCGCAACACCCGCCGTTCAAAATTCAGGCTGAGGAACGTTGCAGAAGGTACGACGCAATATGTTCTATCTTAGTTAGATGCTTATTATTACGCTCTCGGCCATTTTACCAGCAGAACTTCATTAGCACTGAAGGTGACAAAAGTTTTTAGTATTCTTTATTCATACAAGGCCTTTACTATGGTTCGATCTTAATCGATGTCAATATTTCAATTACAATTTTATAATTTTTGTAAATTTTGGGTTGTGGACGTTATAAGAAAGAAAAATATTGTTCAGACCCCGACAGCTGCTACGTGAAAATATCCAAGAGAGGAAACATCACCTCGATAAAAGGAAAACATTAAATGAAACTGAAGCGTGAGG